GTGCAGTCCGAACAGGGTCAAGGTAATTCTGAAGGTCTGATAACGATGTCGGTTTTAATATCTCTCACTAGCAGGCACGTTATACTTATGCAGATAAGGGCGTTCTTCAGCTTCAGAAATCATTTCGTTGCTCCAACACATTTTCGCTTACCTTTTTGAAAAAAACATGATGTATCATCAAACATTATGTCATTGCTAGAATGCTTTATCGCACGACGATTCTGTTCATTTTTTGGCTCTGTTACAGCTATCGGTGTAGTAAAAAAGACGGCCTCCTTCATAACTACGATACGGGGCCTAACCGCGTTCTGACGTATTCCATCTGAGATTACATGTAAAGTACTGGAGATATAAAAAAAATGTAAATACTCTTTTTTATAGGGAATTTAGTAAACTATATCTTTCATGTAAACTATTTCTTCGTGTCAGTAATAATTGCCGAGATATGGGCAAAAAACTGGAAAAGTGTACCGTTTTTCCAAGATGGCGTCTCGAGCGCAACAGATTTTGACAGGGACTTTTAGTATGTTCATTAGAAAGTCCCAACAAATGTGTATACCAAAATTCAGATCTTTACCAATTAATGTTTTTATTTGTCCAAAATTGCGCTAATTTGACTGGACTAAATGACATTTATATAACAATTCACTTTCGGCAACAGCTGAGAACTTCCATCTACCTAACCATTTTAATCTCGGTTTTAATGTAGTGAGATCAGCAGCCAGTATGGTCACCAACGATCTCAGCAAAGCATATCCTGTGTATATCTTCTCGGATAAGGTATTGTTAAGGTATTCAGTTACTTTACCTTCAACATTGAGTACGTCGACCACAGAGATGAACTTTTCCATATCTTTAACTGTTAATACACGTACTTTAGTACAGTTGCAAAAGAATTACATTCTAATTTCACATACCTTTTCAAGGTAAAATGTCAACATGACATTTTCGGAAATATCTCCTTTCAAATTCATTGTATTCCATCAATTGCCGAACTGATCGAAACCGTTCCAATAAGTTTCTTTTGATTTGAGTGGATATAATGTTAAAATTGCCTCCGCAGCAGAGCAAGCAACATAATCTTCCACTGCGATTACGAGGACTGACGGTACAGCATTAAACAACATATTACTATAGCAACGACAATAGCTGTAATTTAGTGAAAAATCGTAGCTCATAATCTCTTTTGTAATTTCTCGTAGTTGATTTTAAAATAACCTACCCCAGTGAGGTCGACGAAAAAACGTTGTATGCAATTCATGTATAAATCGGCGATTATTGGTTCGTTCGGACTAAACATCTCACTCACCAATAAAACGCCTCATTTATACACTCATTGCATAAATAACTATTTATATAGTATATTAAGATACAAGTGTATAATCAAGTCTTTAAAGCACGCGCAACGAGTTTAAGGGCACGACGCAAAGCGGAGTGCCTTTAACGTTGCAAGTGCTTTAAAGACCAATTATACACGTGTATCTTATAGTATTTTTTATTATACCTGCAGTATAATTTAAAAATAGGAAATACAATGAAGTCATATTGACGTTATACTCGAATACATGTCTAATTAAGTGGGCTGGGTGTTCGTAATTTCACGATTGCCATGGAAATGTCACTTGACGTTTGCTTATAAAAATCATCGTCTTTGTGAATTAAACGATTTCCGTTGAAAAAGATAATACACCGTCCATTAAATCGCTTGTTGTAAAATCTAAACAAACGTTGGTAGGTGTAAAATCCAACTCCAGTAAAGCCTATTATAAAGAATATGAAAATTTGTTTCCATGGATGAATAGGAAGTTACTTACGAATACAGTCTTAAATGCATCCATAATGCTGGCATATATGAAGGAAATGTATTTAAATCTTCTATATTTTGGTGCATTCATTCAATACTTTAAAACAATGCTGCGATTAAAAAGTGGAACAGATTTGGAAGCATACCCTAAATTACGCGCGTTTGTGAAAGCTTCAACCAAAGGATAGGTACAAAAGCCAAAGAAATGTTCTGCATTTACAGAAAGCGACCTAAGAGGATTGTTTATTTCATCCAGATGACAGTTTCAAAAGTCATACTTGAAGTATCGTTACTTAGCAACTTTAAAGCACGTGTGTTTTAAAGGCCCTTTTTCGCACGCATTTGAGTGTTTAAAACGGAGATTGTGATTCAGGTATAATAAAAATAGATTTATTCATTCCTTACAGTCACACTGGACACATTTTAACTTGGGGGTAGTCTCGTATGTTAAAATGCTATTTATTGCGCATAAGCGGTGTTCTACTTACAGTGCAAAGTACATCTTGGTGTTAAATGTATTGACACAGATGCTCGTTATTGAAAGTAAATGGAAGATTATGACTTAAGTTTGAAACGTTTGAATTGGTCACGTGATGTTGGGAAAGTATTCAAATTCACCGAAACATTGATAGGTATATAGAGAGAGGTTCGCGGTAATTAAATAAATTCTTGAATTCAGTAAAATAAAGTGAACATAGGGTAAATTTAATTATTAAATCAGTGTTAACGATTTTATGTTTCTTATTTAATTAAAAAGAAATAACTTCTTTGACATTTTATTACAATCGCGCCATCTAGCGTACATAAGGCGTATTTTTTTTCTCGCCTAGCCGACAAAATTGAATTTTCTCGCTCCATGCGTGCAATTATCTTCTTTCGCGTCCTCACACAGGCGAGAAAATGTAAGTTTCTCCTTGTATAGGATAAAAAAAAATTTTCTTATAGAATGTGGCCTGTAGAATCCACAATTTCAAACAGTTCCAAGATTGAGCTACTAGTTCAAAAGTTACAGCCCTTTGAATTTTCTTTCGAAATTGGTTTCTGGTCTATAACTAGAGGATTGATTTTTTATTCTAAAGGTACACAGGCTATCGTGTAATAACCAAGGTCAAGCCCAGAAACGACTGCGCAACTCAAAACTAAAAATCAAACCCCAGGAGAAACGAACTGAAACTCATGGCACATGATCGTAATGTAACAAAAGTATCTAGTGATAGGAATAAAATTAATACCGTTACACACAAAAATAACAATCAAACTTAAATTCAAATCAGGATTTCCCTCTCTATCACACGAGCATTATAGCTCTATTGGCTTCATTGATCACACGGAAGGAAAAAAGAGCTATTGAAAGCATTCCAGGATATGCACTCACTCACAATTTGCATTTTACAATATTTCATATTATAATAATTTTGAACCCTTACGACAACATTGGGAAATTCTTTCACCATCATAATCGTGACTTTACACGAATATTGAAAATGTTGGCGGAACACAGGGTTTCTGGTTGGACGTACGGTTTGTGTGTAGTAGAAGCTACGAATAGAAGGCAATAAAACACTGGCGGCTCATAATGCTTTCGAGTAGTAGGTGGTTGCAAAAACGTCCAGCGAATAAAAGTACAGGTGGAGAGTGCGGTTTTTAATCTGGACATGTCTGCGAATAGGTTATAAAATTTCTGGTTATAGGCAAAGTAAATGGAATGGTTGGTCTGGGGTACGAATACACTGTTCCTGATTTGAGAGACGATGTATCTTTATCACTGAAAACGTTATGAATAAACGAAGTACTTCCGGCAGGTTTGGAGAATGGCGTGTAAGGCTTTTGTGTGAGGTCAACGATCGTAGTGAGCTTTTGGGTTGAGGGTTGAAAAAATGGACGTGCTTCATATGGCTTTTGGGTCACTGGCTCTTAGTTAAATTCGAGAACGAAGGGTTTTGGAGTTTGGCTAAATCCTTGAGGCGAGTATGGTTGCTGGGTTGACGGTTGAACAAATACGGTTTATGAGGCTTTCTTATGGTTGTTGATTGAGTAAAGCGAAAACACATGGTTTTTGTGTTATTGAAGGTTGGTTAAATACAGGAACGAACGGGTTTCGAGTTTGAATGGATTCTGGAAGACAGTACGGTTTCTTGATTGAGTGTTGAAGAAATACATATGCCCGTTAGGTTTTAGTTGATTCGGTAAATACAGGGGATACGTGCGAGTTTTGAGTTACCAAGGGTTGGTTAAACTCGGGAACGAATAGACCTACGTATCAAAAACTACAATACACCCTAGATTGGATTAGCAGTCTGCACTAATCTTCAACGCTCCCCTAACACATGGTACACGTTAGGTTACATAGCCGGGAGGTCGGGTGTTCGAACCTGGGCTGAGGTGAGTTTTTCATCTGTGTCAGAGATGGAAATTTCCTTGGATCAGTTTCGAGCATTCTGCCGGCTACTCCGAATTAAGGTTTTCCTGCAGTTTTCCTAATTCCTAAGGTAAATATCGGAGTAGTATAAGAACAACTTAAGACCTTCGGCAACGGCACTTCTAAAAAGCATTACTCGGACCATAAGCCTGTTGAGGGCCCAGAACAAGAGAGGGACAATAAATAAACAAATCTAACCCTGACGACAGAGAATGACCATATAACTTTTCGGTTTTAGGAAGACAGCCCAAATAACATCCCTTCTTGCGAAGAGGGGACCGGATCTGAAGGTTTCCTTCCAGATCCGTACGTGACCAAGGCTACCTCGAGTCATCCGCTCGTTCCAATCGTTTATCTGTATAGAAGCCTTCCGAGCTTCTGCCTCCACAGCTAAGCGTAAAGCCGTTAGTCCCAGAAGTGCGTGATTTTCATAACCCCAGTGACTCTCAGCCAGGTGGATCTCGTTACCTTACCTAGCTGCTTCCTGTAAGTGACTCTGCGCATATGGCAGGCCACCATACAAGTGCACCATACAGTGTTATTGCCCTTTCCAGGTCAGGCGGGAGTCAACGTACTAAATATTTCACTGACCTGGTCAGATCCAGTTGTTTCAACTCTGTTTTGATAAATGCTTCAAATGTACGTACAAAATGTAGAAAATACTGAAGCAAAGTAATAAAAGTGCATGGTGCACACAGTTCAATTACTACAAGCCAATTAAAGTTTTTGCAATTTTAATAGCATCGGGTAGGGTAAAGTGTCAAAAAAGCTACACAATGTGGGCGGAATAGGTTCAAATGGCGATTTAATAGCAATACTTCAAGATAGCATATTAGCAATTAAGGAAACAATTCCTCATAAGTAAACGCCATGGTTATCCGATTAGCCAAATCGGTAAATTTTTGATCTAGCGAATCTTGCAATCCCGGTCGAATTTCGTTGAAGAAGACTTCGGTGTTGTCGTCGATAATGCCCTTCGTCGCTTCCGCAAGTATCGGGTTTTGAGCGAACAGATTATCTAAACGCAACTTTTTTTCGCCGATTCGCAGTTTACAAATCAGCTTCTCGAATAATAAATGGTTTCGCCCGTCATTCTGTATTATGTTACCATTTAGCGTGCAATCGAAGCGGTAATTAGCTGAAATTGACAGATACAGGTAATGAAAGCATATGGGCTATTATATACTTACAAACGTTTGTGTAAAATTTACCTTCGCCTTGTAAATCTAAAAACAACAGCTTTGTGTTAATTTGATAATTACCTATTCCGTAAAGGTGAGGTACTTCGACCTTAAATCTGAACGATCTCCCGGTCTTGGTGTTGCCTACACTATTATACAAAGAGCAGAAATTAGTTCGAAATCCAAAGGATTACGCGCCGGTTACCTTAAATGCAAAATATGGAAGCTGGAAGCGCCCCAAACCTGAAGATCGGTCAAGTTCGTAGCGAGATTCGCCGCATCTGACCCGCTCTTAAAGCTCATACGATCCAATTCCAGCGGCTCTAGGGGTGGAATATTCAGCTCGGGTATTCCGATTTTGAGCACGGGTAAAAGCTCTAATATCGAGTTTTTGATACATTCAGCTAGGTTTGGATGATTGTTTGGGCATACCTTAATGTAGTCCGCTAAAAAGTGTATCTTTCAGCCCAATGGACACATTTGCGACTAAGCCACTTACGTATTTTTGAGTTCACGTCTACAATCAAGACACATATTGTAACCAGTTGAGCCACTTTATGCATTTCACAGCGTGAGACAAAACGAAATCTTGGTAATGTCATCTAATCCTACTTACAAATTATGGCAAATTACGTCACGATTTTTTTCTTTATTTTGTTTTCTAACAACGGAAGTAATCGTAATCATAGTGTGTTAAAAACTCATTAGAGACTATTTGTTGTAGAATTAACCTTTGATTAAAGATTCCATATCTAAACCATTACTGGCGGTATTTGGATCATTTTAGTTATGGTAAATTACCTGGTTAAGAAATTAGAATAGTTACTTGTACACAAATCATAAGATAGCTGGATCATCATGGATCAAGTCAAAATTAGCTAAATTTAATCAGTCTTTGTATGTAATCTTGAATTCTAGTTTTAAAAACACTATGTACTTTTGAGAAGACAAAGACATCACCAACTTATAGTATATTTATGATCAAAATAAACAAAATTTAACAAGTAACTAACGAATTCATAAATCCTAGGGAAAAAGTTCCTCAAAGGTAAACGATTGCGTAATCTGATTTGCTACCTCGAGAAGCTTTTTGGTAACGGCTTCTACAATATTTGGCCTAGCTTCAGTGAACAGTGCTTCAGAATTGTCATCAATGGCGTCGTTTACAGCCTTTCCGATAACAGGATCGCCATTAAACAGATTTTCAAAATAAATTTTTGAATTGTCAACGGATTTTATAACGCACTGTACGTCCACAAATTTTAGGTGATTTTCACCGTTTATCTGTACCTTTTTGCCCAATAAGACGCATTCGAAGTGGGGGTTTGCTGAAAAATCCGTTTCAAATTTATTGTGGGGAATACAGTATACTTACTTATATTAGCATTAAACGGTCCTGAACCTTTCAAATCAATAAACGCCAATCTGGTGTTAATTACGTAATTACCCCTAACGTGAAGTTTAGGGATATGAACTTCAAATTTGAAGTGTCTCGAGTTCTTGGTAATTTTGGGTCTGAAAAACAGACGCCATCAAATTACAGAAGAAAGAGTCTAATACTTACGTGAGCTTTAATATTTTAAATTCAGAAACGCCCCATGCTTTTACATCGGATAGGTTGGTAGAGAGTGAGCTTTGACCGAGGATGCGTAGTGTGTCGAGCTCCAAAGGTTCCAGTGCGGGGACTCCCAGCTCTGGTATTCCAGATAAGAGGCGAGGTTTCAATGAATTTATCGAATTTGTGATGCACGAGGCCAAGTCTTTATCATTTTGTGAACATACGTTTATGTAATCGGCTGAAAAAAAAGGTACGGTTGGATGTGGTTTATAATATTTTGGCCTTAATTGTATACAAAAGGTACTACAACCTACACTTAGAGATCGTTTATTGATGTAATGCAATAAATTCTATACTGCTCAAGGACAATATTATGTAATTACTATTTTTTGGCAGGAGAATCTATAATTTGTGAAAGATCTAACAACAGTTAAATTTGCATTTACTTTATTTACTGGATTCTTCTAAATCTAAATCTAAAACGTATTTAACCTTAACCTTAAACAAATTAGACACGGCCCACCAATTCGAATCTTTGACCTTACAGAAGGACCATTTTTGTTCCTATTCTAAAATTGCGCGGTTCAGTACCGATGTTCTCTCAAAACCAGTCGCTTAAACGTATCGTAATTGTGACGATTGCCTCGATTGTTAATATCGATGATTGGGCATTTATTGCAAAATGATTAATTATAATCTTCATTACGATAAAATGGTGTAATACTTATTGAACTGGTTTTAAGTGCACAAGTAAATGAAAGGTGTTTTGAAGCAAGTTAGTATTCCCAAAAAAATTGATCAACGAATATTTTTCATTGGCATTATTGTTTTTAAAGCCGACGGTATCAAGTAGGTCCACAAAAATTACACATCAATGTACAATATTTAAATTTTAATTAGAAATCTTGTTTGGGAAAATTTTCAAACCTGTTTAATTATTTGGTTCACCGCAATGTCATATTTAAATGCTTAATTACGTAACTTTAAGTAAAGAACTGAACCCCGTCATTAATTTCACGTGTCAATGCGTAAACAGTAGGTAACCTATAAAGGACCCCGAAGTCGGATCACACTCCCACCAAAGTTGTCACACCGACCTTATCCTTTTTGGATAGGTCATACCATTCTCCATTGCAAAACCATCCACATTGGAATAACAAAATAAACTGCGTAAAATGAGAGTTGCGACTCTCGGAAAAATGCTGTGAAAAGCTTTCAGCTAACTGCGGCTCCTATTGATTTCAATTTTTTCTGAAGAAGGTAGTATGCCGCATGATGCATGTCTTGGTCCAGTTCATCTACCCTCAAAACCTAGGTATTACCAATAACCGACATATAAGTGCTAATAAAGTATGAAATGCCAAAAAGGTAAACTTTAACCAGAAGAAAATCTCTATAAGTGCGGTTTGATGTCTATATGAAAAGAATAATTTGCCATCCTGTTGTCAAAATAAATACTAAAAACGTCTTCCAAAAATGAAGTTGAGCTTTATTTCTTACGAGAACCGAGAAACGCACTGGCGAAAGAGGTGTGACAGTCGTCAAGGTTGGTGATAGAGACATGAATAAGTATCTGGAAGAAGAAGCGTAAAGGAGCCACAAAGGAAAGTGGAGTCACGAAGAAGGCCAACCAGTCGCGAGTTGTGAGAAAGGGCAATGAAAGCATACTCGTAAAAGAAAAAGACTTCAGAAGCGATAAAGGAGAGGAAAGATGTCTTAAAAATGTATGAGGGGAGGTGTGAATGGTGTGAAACGATCTTGAAAGGAGTGTAAAGAAACGCGACGGGGAGAATCCTGAAACAAAATTATTACGAAGGAAATGCGCAAAGGTCAATCTCACAAAAGTATGAAGAGCGTCATTTTGCTCTGAAGGAAGCGGAAGGAGAACTGAATAGAGGATGAAGCGACGTGAGAAAAAGAGAAGGTGTATAACACGAAGGGTGAAGGAAAGAGTCTATAGTGTAGAGGGAGCATGAAGGATGCGCGTCAGGAAGGGGTAAAAAGGAGACATAAAGCAAGTGTCAAGAAGGTGTGACGTGTAGAAATCATACCGTGAAGGATGTGGGTGCAGCAGTAAACAGGTTTGAAGAGTAGAAAAATGGAGAAGCATAGAATCCGCGGAAAATAATATGCAAGAAGGAGGCATGAATGTGGTGTGAAGTGGCGAATAAAGCGTAAAGCGGAGGCGAAATACGGGCGCGAAAAAATGAAATAGGCGTAAGATAGATGTCGAAGGAGCGCCAAGGGAGAGACGTAACATTCTGCTAAAGGAAAAATTATACTAATGAGTTGTAAATAATGAGCGACAATAATAGCCAATAATAACGGACATAACATTTATACAGGTGAACCTATACAGGGCGAAAGCATCCACCTGCGCACTGTGCACAAAGTTCACCACAGAAAATCTAGGCAGGAACCATGGGTACGTCACTCTCCTATCAAGCGTTATCCTAATTCTGCAGGGACTCTGATTTACGAAAGGAGCAACAATTGCCCCGGGGTAGCGGTTTTCGTAAAGCCGAAACTAACAGTCTTTCTTCTTTCTGAGTTCATAAGAAGAGACCTGGTGGCTGTGGTGGTCGAAGTGCCAATGAGCATCGGTGTTGACAAATTAGTGTGTGCTTTGGCATACGTCCTAGGAGTGTACGCAGCGCAGCAGCAGTAACTCCGTCACCGGAAGTACGGAGGCTGAGCAGATACTGCAAGGAGAAGTGGTTGCATTTTCTTATTGGATGACACGCCAACTGCTGTCACCTCCACGGGGGCAGGACGGACAGAAACCTTAAATGTGAGTAGAGTTACTCAATCTGGGAAATGAGTCAACATTTTTATTCAGGAACAGGGAAGAAATCTGGGACATTACCTTTTCCTCCTCCTTTCTAGCAGGTAGAATAGTGCGATCGCGCCCTCTCTATCGGACCACAAACAAATATAAAGGTTAAGAAACAAACCGAACATTCATACCAAAATCCCCGTACAAAGATTGCGCACTGTGCGAGGAGTTATTGAAAAGCAACACAGCAGGACTCTGCAGGAGGGTAATGGATCGAGTTGATTCAAAACGACTTGCCACACTGCTCACTGATCATCTGATGCGCTTCTCTCCTCCTTCGAGGGGACATGTCCGCTGTAGCGAGTTAAAATATATAGAAACACTCCCTCCCAGAAGTTTTTAACAAATCCAAGCGCACTGGGTGTTGAGATGAATACTCGTAGAACGTTCCTCACTGAGAATAATAAGGTTACTCGGAAGGCAAAAAGAGAAATTCCCATAGCCTCTCGCCTACGGGAGATCCTCTCAAAAAAAAAGAAACAACCCGTTGGGAACGGTCGTGGGACCAGTAGGGAAACGCGCTGGCTCAATAGAGAGGCTTTGCCGGTCTGGATGCAAACGGAGGACATCAGAAGGCCTCCATCTTCCATCATGCCAATAAATTTGACTATGGCCTTAGTGGCCGTATTTATGTTTACACACCAAACAGGGTCCGTTGAGCGATAGGCCGCCACAAGGTGGAAACATGACTGAAACAATAACGCCTATTCTAGTAGAACTTTTTAGGAGGAGCTACTTATTCCTGAAGCTGTGGTTTTTATGGTTAAGGCAAACAAGAGGCTTAGGTACCAACACAAGAGCTAACCACCTATCAGCCCTTCATCCTTAAAACGATGGAAATAATAGCAGGGCAGTACATAAGGGAAGAGTTCCTTAACGAAAAACTCCTTCACACCAGCTAACATGCATACCAAAAGGGACGTTCTACGGAAACCACCCTTCATAACGGCATCTGTAACATTGAGACAAGCATGCTGGACAAAGAATCGACCTTAGTCTGCTCCATCCACATTGAGGGGACATTCAACTGCCTCTCATGTACCTTCATTGATGAAGCAGCAAGAGAGAAAAATTTCGACCTGTACACACGGCCTTTCATAAAAGCCATGTTAAAAAGCAGGGCGAGTAAAACCAGATTGGGAACGGAAATAATTCTTGTGGCCACCAGCAGGGTTTGTCCGCAAGGAGGTGTAACGTGTGAATCTGCCCTTGGGCTGAGACAATCCAGAAAACTGATCAGTTTCCAGGCGACTAAAACCATCTCGTTGCTTACATTAAGCAGAGGTGAACTAAGGTCATACATAGACCTGGTCACTGGATACTTCCCCTTGAGTTATCATTTCAACAAAAGCAGGATAGCTGAGGAAAAAGATCACAAGTCCTGGGTGGGGCTGCCATAGCACCTCAGTAGATTAGGGAATGCAGCCGGAGATGATCCTCAGATTGTTTAACCAAGGGTCTCTTTCGGAGTAATGCACTGGGGCACGCACAATAGATTCAGAGGTCAAAGTGCGTAGGGGTGGAATAGCCCAACCTACGGAGGAAAAAAATAATTAAGGGGGCGCAAACGAAGGGGTGGTATAGTACCCTAATAAAAGGTGAAAGAACTTTAGGAGAAAAAGGGTGAAGAAGTCGCGTGGAGGCTTAGGACTTGCCAACGGGACGAGGCGTAAATACTCTTCTCTACGTTGTGGGGGGTATTTTTAGGAAAAATTATTGTTGCTTGTTTGTCGTCGTAAATATTGCGCACCTGTGCTCTCCTAAAATTGTGTAACACGCTATTTTTAGTTTAAAAAGTTTTAACTGGGAAGCAAAAAACCTTTATAATGCCAGGCAAAGAGAAAATTGGTACCAAATAATCGTAAAAGCGTCATGAATAAGTAGGTAGGGGCACTACCTATGAGTAGGAATGTAACACAAACTCTAGCCCACTTTGACGGTGAGTTCTGCACATGCGCCACCTCCAAGAGTGGTTGTTGTCTAAACTCACTGAAGGTCATCGTGATTGTCGTCTAAACTAACTAGGGTTGTTGTCTAAACTCAATGTCACTGAAGGTCATCGTGGTTGTTGTCTAGCTCAATTTGATCATGGATGTTGTCTAAACTAAAAGTCCACTGAAGGTTAAAAGGTAAGGTTCCTTCCTGAACTTATATCGCTGAAAATCAAACCTACACGCGAGTTCTGTGCGCTTTCTTCAAGGTCGAAGGCATTTATTCGGGGAGCAGGAATTATATCCATACAGGGTGCACTGAGCAGATTTCAAAAGTAACTATAGTAGGACGACAAGCAGACAGCGACTAGATAGAAATAGATTGGGAGAGTGGCAAAGAAGGCATTAATTAGACGACAGGGTCCCATCGATATGTAAAGACGCGTCAAGCGATGTGAAAGAACTGTTTCAAAAATTCTAAATGCCTCCAGTGCAGGTAAATCCTAAAGCTCTGAAATTTAAGTGGAAACAAGCATAAAAAGATAGGCGGGCACTTCACGAAGTCACGAGTTTCTTCAGAAATTTGCTCAAATTCCAGGACAAGAGAAAAGTTAAGGTTTTCCACTGTTAAATTTTTCTACAAAATCGCAGGAAGAAAACTGCATCACGGTGATGATTGCAGCAAAATGTTAATTTTCCGCTACTATGCATTCATTTATGGTTTTATTGTTGTAGAAATAGTACATTTTGAGATTTTGCGATACGAAAGTCATTAGAGATCACATTTAAAATACGAGTAAATATTTTCGTGTAACACGTTATCGGACCAAGATCTTATAGGGGTGTACAGTATGAATAAGAACCTCAAAGTAAGTTGGACTTCCATCGTATACCAAAAGCAAGTAAGGGTTATATTAATATCACCTCGATTTTAAAATGGTGCAGCGACCAAACGAGTACTGTAGCTGAGGTTTAATAACAAACCGGTGCTGACTCCCAACACATTCCCGAAAAAAATGAAAAGGTCACATCAGGGGTCACATACAAAAAGTAGTCACAGTTCTGAAAAAAGTCATGCTTAATTAACCTTCGCATAATCTTAATTTGTTTAATAGAGAAAAGGACATCAACTTCACTTCTACCATTTGATTGTACTTATGTTCCCATTGTGCCCAAAAAAAACTAAGGACTAAAGAAAGTATGCCGATGTCATGGCATACATTTGCGTGTTAAGTAATAGATAGTAAAGATGATTTGCGTCTATTATGTTGATTTGATGTATGATTGACGGCGAATTGTCTTGTCTACAGGATAATTCAAGGGTGTCATAATAAAAATTCTCATAGCTTGTCTGAGTAAGTAATTAATGCATCATAAATTTTGCATGTCCCCAATGACCCCTTATTTTTAAACATTATAGTGCTAAACTCTGATCTAAATATGATTGGCGGCATGTCGAATATGTTATGGTAACATTTCAAAAATATAGCCATGGGTACTCACGGATTTTACAATTCACCGCAACAAACAACACAAAGTAAATAACACCGCGAGTGCTCATTTTGGGAGTCTTCAAACTAAAATAGTGTTAAAATTGACAGCAAATCTCGTTCTTATACAGAAGGTTATTGCGAAGGACCTTGAATGTAATTTGGGAAGTATAATATATTCTGCTACAACTAAGAGCTGGAGAAGAGGCGACGCCAATTCCTGTTTATTGCTGTTACGGGGATTTATTGCCAAATTTGCAAAATCGCAAAGTAAGCCAGTATTATTAACAAATCTAACGTCACCTTAATTGTTATGCCAAAATTTTAGTCACTTTCCTTTTGCCTTTTTCGTGTGATATGAATTCGTACTTCCCCGCCAGCCTTGACCAGCTAAAACCAAACGAGTTATATACAAAACGCTTGTATGCGTCTCCTGCGATTCGGAACCATTGCTCACAGTCCGCTGGAATAATTTCACATGATATTCGCAAGTACAGTCACAGTTCCCATAGCATTTTCATGCCAACTAAAGCAAGAAAAGAAAATATTTGTAGGCGTTATCGTACTGAGCTAACGGAGACAAACGCACCCCCATGCGAATATTCGTTGGTACGTAACACCAAAGCTAAACAGTTGTACGCTATTGCGCGAAATAAAACCCGACCATCAGTTCGGAAGCTTGTTTGCCATAAAAAAAAAGCTCCAGCTTGCTCAAACTTTTCACAACATACAGGGAAAGCCAGAAGTGACATAGAAAAACTGCGCCGCTCTCGAAGGACTTATGTAAACATGAGAAAGGTGACAAGAGTAACAATAACGGAAGCAGAAGAAATTGAATTGTATTCACCAGGATTGGTTCACATAATGATGAAATCGTAATATTCCTGCTGCACTGTGTTGAATAAATGATTTATACGAGACCGCACTATTGAATATCCTCAATAATATCGCTTCGCACCATAAAAAATCCCTTCCACCCAAAAAAATTAAGAAATCTTGTTTGGGCCCGGACATATAAATAAAATACATTTGTTTAACTGTAGCATGAACCCGAAACCCAAAAAATTACTCTGAAATACATATATACGAAGTCTATAGTTATTGAAAGGACTCCAATGAAGATCCCTTAATTGGAGCTGGATTTGTTTTAGGAATATCCCTAAAAGTACTTCATATTTCGAAGAAGCTTCCTAACGTATCCTTGTGTTGATCGATTTTATCATAACTACGGATGAACGGTTCTAATTTTCGTTACAATACAGGGTGACGCGTTGAACACAAAACGGGGGTATTTTCGGACAGAGCAGGAATTTAAAACAAAACTTTGAAAAATTACAATGGCTATATGTTTTTGTTAAAGAGAGATATCAAGAAAATAAAAAATACCATAAAAACCAGGGGGAATCCAAATGAATTATTTTTTGCACTACCCCCACCACCCTTTGAAGAACAACCTACAATGACGCAAACATTTTAAATTAAAATTCTCCACTTGTTCTCTCTGGAAAGCTTATTAAATATGCTGTTCACTGGTCATAAAAAAATATAGGGTGAACACACGCTTATAATTTTTTTACGAATAGAGATATTCAATAAAATGATAAAACGTGGTTGTTGTAAAAGCTAGGGAGAATCCTAATTACGTATTTTTCAGTAATTTCAATTTTTTCTTACACGCTATAAGGTATTTTTAAAAATAAACAAAGATCCAAATGGAAGATAATACCCATGCATTAAAAAAAGTGATAAACTAGGCTTGGATCTATTGTCAGTCTCAGAGAGAATAAGTAAATGAGAGGGGACAGCTCCTTGTTTATTACGTATGTCCAATTTTTACCTGCCATCTGTGAACGTCGTCATTAACTACAACTAAAGAGCGGGCTTTGCAAATATAACTTTCAAACCTTCAATAGTTAATGTAGGCAACATATTATCATAGAGTAATTAAATATTCACTCGACGATATTATACATCAGAGCGCATCTTGGAACAGATTCTCTCGGTTACATAAACGTTAAAGTGTTACAACAACCGGCCACTAAACATTTTTTATTTCGATACATCGTTAATAGATCTACAAAAACACATTAACATTATTTTGACTTTGGTATTATTTTTGTTTGTTGCCAACTCCTACAACCCTACAACTTATCAAACCTACATTCACTAAAAAGATCCAGAAACTGCCTACACCTCTATGAACGTCGGTTGCAACTATCAGACAATGTTCCTTGTTACCCTCATTTAACTTTCCCCTCTCGTTTACATGTTCTCTCTGGTCAGTCTGTTAATCATTCACTTGTAATGGTTCATAGCGCGGAAAAAAAGAATTGAAACTATTTTTTAGGGTGCGCAAGACATGTGGTATTTAAAAACATCCCTTTCGTTTAAAGACATGCTGGCAGAACCGATACACTGCTTTTTGACTTTTTGGTAGTGGGCATCTTTTATATACTGTGTCCAAGATAAGGGTGTGCCGTGTGTCTCATAGGAATAGGACACCCTCTGAACAAAAGATGCTTTCGCAAGATAATATAGCCACTTCGTTACATACTAATAATTCGCAAACTTTCTTGCTATAACTTGTCGAGGCTACAAACAGTCGGACGTAGTTACTTCATTTGAAATTTGTAGAGCAAGTAAACAAACCAATATTCCAGTACTTATATGGTAAAGTAAAAACGTTTTCTATGCGTTTTTTAGGTTAATACTAAAAAACGTTTACTTACCTACTTATTTTCAACGTTTCTTATCACAGTTTCATTAGAATATGACATAAACAATACGTAATTTTGATACGTAGAATATACCTAATTTTTATTCGTATATTAGAGGAAGTAAGTAAATCAATATTCCCGTATGGTAAATAAAACGGTGGTATATACGTTTATCAAATTATTGCAAACGGATTTTTTTTATATACCTACATATATTATCAACGTAGAACGTGGTCTCTATGGTTTACATAATATAGGAATAAAAATCGTATTTTAGACGTAGAGTATAAAATTGCTCTACAAAAATAGTTATTTATGTAATAAGGGCATAATAGTGATGTTTATATTCTCGAGGGCGACGAGTTAAAAAGCTCGAGGGCCTATTGCCCGAGAGCTTTTTAGTCGCCCGAGAGTATAAACATCAGTTTATGCCCGTGGTACATACTCAATTTTATGTTTTACAAATAGTTTTCTTCGTCAAATTTCGTTTACAAAATAATTCATTATGTTTGATCGAGTATGCGTGGTTCGAATTTGCTAATGTGATTGAAACCATCCAAACGTCAAACGTAATTTTAAATAATTCAATTCATCGTGAATGAGCAAGAAGTTCCAGAAACTATACGAAATAAGGCCTATCTTGTGATTTAGTAGGTACTGACAATTAATAATTGACGTTTCTAATTTTCTAAGACCTGCAAATATTTGTTTATTTTGTCATTAAGTATAAATGAGTTACTATGGTGATACTTAATGCCCTAGGGCATAAAGTGGTACTTTATGCCCGCGTATCACAGATGTAAAATGTGCTATGATAGGTTAGTAAGACCACAGACAACGTTGTCTGTGGTAAGACATAAAACGTATTTATACTACCAATACCGAATTTATGCTTTTAAAGCGCTTTGAAAACGTTTTTTAAGTAACGTTTTGTATTGAGTAGCATTTTTTTTATTACAAATAGGTACTACGATAGGTAGACTACGGCACAAAAAAAATCAAAACTGTCGATTTCAACGCCCTAACCTAATCAGACAAATTTTCCATTTTCCAGGAAATTTGTACGATAGATATTCTCGCATGATTAGAGCGTTGTGCGCAGATGCATCATCCTGTTGAAACAAGAAAAAAATAAAAACGAAATAGGCAAATTTAGGTTTTTCTGGCGTATCTTCGTAAGTAATCGGCATTTTGTAGTTTTCTTTGAAGCATATTAATAACTCTTTAATTGCGCGCCTTTTCTCTAGTTTGACCATCGTCGCATCTTCTATGATTTCGGAATTTCGATTAAGGGGGTAAGATTGCAATGAGAAAGTTAGATAGGGCTGAAGGCGATGATTTTCAGGATCTGAATCTTTCGTGAATAAGAAGGGATTGCCAGTTTTTATGAAGTATTTCGACATTTTAAACGAACAATCTTCACTTTGAGATAATCAATATAAATAGAAGGGTTCGGTTGTTTTTATTGAATTTTATTATGTTTGGAAAGATAGGTTACATAAGTTACTGTAGCCGAATTTTGTCAAGTCACTATGATTTGTTCATTATTACTAAGAACACTTTCTTCAAACATTGATTTCTGCTATTTAAGGTGCCGAGCACATTTTTTTCTGAGACTAATTGACTTCAAATAACGTAAGCAGTAATAAACATCTAACTACAATGGCAATTCAAGCGTGCTCATTTGATTTTATAATTCCAAGGCAACAACGATTATTTAAAAAATTAATTAATGTGTTACTTTTTCCACTTCTTTCCAGTTCCAGACTTTAAAAGAAACTGGAAGGTGATGATTTCTACAAATTTGTATTCTTTTCTTTACAGAAAAACCTAAATAAGGGAATACTTGACCACTACGGATATAACTTGCTGCGTCGCGAATGTCAGCACGCGGAATACACTGCAATAAGTTCCAAACTAAAAAATTCTAAAAAAAAGTTCTATGTTTTACCATAATTTGTCGAAGCTGTATTAAAAAAATAGGCAGGAAATTACTTGTTCCTAAATAATCCAGGATACTTGCGAAAGCGATTTAGAACCAGAAATAGGTATCTCACAAAGCATTTACTGATTTAGATCAAAAGTGTTTCAACTGCAAAACTGTCATTATCAGCGAACAACTGTAGTGAAATGAGCCATTGTGCTTTTTAAAACGAATTTTCAATGACCTTTTTGTTTGCCCAAACTAGAATCTTTACAAGCTATTTTGTATGTTCCTGATTTATTTTTCATATCTGAGTTGACGATTTGATTAAAATTAATAGTATAAATTCTTTAAACAAAATAAAACCTTAAGTGGATGATGTTTTATGTATTTTCGTAATTTGTTCCCTTAGGGACTTTGTTCTTCAACTAAATTATCGATCAATAAAGTTTACCTAATCTATCTCATTACCGGAAGGATACTAGCACCAAAGTGGGTACTCTTTGCTAGCACTAAGAGATTCGTAACTAATTATTCGAACTACCTACTGCACACAGAAAAAACATGCTTCATTTATCTGTTTGAGTCATAGATTAATTAATTTTGTACAAAAAAATTTATTCATTAACGAATTAAGCATCTTCATAGAATTTTTTCGAATAATTAATTATGAACTTAATTAGTAAACATAGATTAAGCAAGCAGATTATAAACGTAACAACGTTAGGGGATTGTAGTATAAAATACAAGATAAGAAATATTTGTCCAATTATCCATCATACACTAGAGATATATCTAAAATATTTTCCAAACTCAATTTACCAATTGCTAGAATCGCGTTCTAAATGAATAACAAACTATGGTGGAGCAACTCATTATGGAACTCTATTCCACTATTTCTAGATGTTGCATAAGTTATGGAAGTCAGTACATGCGATGCGTAAACTAATAATAGTGTAATATAGTAGTGCAATCTCTCTCAAATTACTTTAGATAGAGTGTAAAGAAGATGCATACACAATCGGTTAGGTATCCCAGCGAAACCTCAAGTTGCCCAGATCTACTCGATCACTTTTACGTTAAGTGTTACAACGACAAATAAGAACGGTGCGTTTCTTATCGCACGTAATGTTTTACCAAATATAATGATCAACGAAATTTACCTTTATTATATCTTCTATAGTCTCCTGACCGATACAGCCATGAAGTTATACAAGACTGACCTTAGTCCTCCTGTACGAACAGTTCAGTTACTGCTCCACATATTGGGAATCGAATATGAGGAAGTTAAGGTAAACATACGCGACCTCAACTATTTAAACACCGAGTTCATTAAGGTATGTGCAGAGTGCTCACACTTGCAACATTAGCTCGGGGCGAACTTCACCACGAGTCAGGTTTTGAACCTTCCCTTTGGTATATCGACAACTCATGGATCGCGCCGAATCCCGACCTACAACCTTTATCGGGTTCGGCGCCGTCCACAGGCTCGGAACCCTGCACAAGTCCTGCTGTTATTATGTTTTTTTTTAGATAAATCCATAACATTGTGTTCCTACTCTTGAAGATGATGGTAACATTATCTGGGACAGTCATGCTATTTGCGCGTATTTATTAAAAAAATATGGCAAAGAAGATCTCTATCCAAGTCAACTCCTGAACCGTGCGGTTATCGATCAACGATTGCACTTTGATTCTTGCAACATATTCGGTTTGGTTCGGTACATTGCGGTAAGTACCTCCTCCCTCAGACCAAGTTTATGAGCGCTGGATCAATTTTATTTTAGCGACCGATCGTTTATCATGGCGTTAAAACGATATCAGATTATAACATCTACGAATGCAACGAATCTTACCATCAGTTGAACATTTTCTTGGAAAATTCCAAATGGGTTGCCGGTGACGAGGTTACTTTAGCGGATCTTAGTCTTATACCTACGGTTACGACTTTACATACATTGGTACCTATAGACTTTGTTAAGTATCCCAATATCCAAAAATGGATTAAACGTGCCGAAGGGTGGCCTTTTTATGATATCAACAGTAAGGAATTTAAAAAACATGTGGCACGTTGTGACTTTGCATCTTCGATCATCTCGAAGTAATAAAATTTTCGGTTGTCTTTTTATGACGTTATGCTATTTAATTTAATTTTTTCACGGGCACGTTGTTAGCATATACCCTTTCTGTTTGCACCAGTTACCAATCGGGTATTAGATCTTACCTTGCATACCTACCTGTACCTATAATAATTGCTATAAATATCTTTGTATACATATGTTAAGTGTTAAAAAATAAAACTCAATTCCTTATTATTATTATTACTTTATCTTAAAGAGCATTGAATGGTGTCACGTGAACTTGGTTCACCAACGGAAATTTTTTCACAAATTTTGATTTATCCCTAATCGGAAAGTTGCTTGATTCTTAACTTTTGTTAAAAAATATGGCCCAAATTTATTCAGCTTACGCCACAACAGAAGTTCAAAAGAAATGCGAAAGCTATGGGGCACGATATAGAAAACGTTATATTAGAAAAATGTGTTGAAGATGATTCTTCAAAATGAAGGTTTACTATTTTGCAATTATTCAACAGAAATACTATTGAAATCGAATACTGTATAACCAAAGTAAAGATAATTCAAAAATTGATCGCAGAAGCCTTAACATTAGCCCGTGCACCCAGCAAAAAGTTAGTTAGAGAAGTAGATTCGATGAGAAGTATGAAGGATAGCAGTAGTGAGTCCGAGTTGTTTGTTAGATCCATTGGTACCAAATATACACCACACATTTTGACTCCAGTAACAAACCCACAAATGTCTTTAATTTCTTATAGTGGAAATAGAAGCAAACTTGGACCTGTAAGTCTGGTTCAGGAGACAGATAGGTACCATTTGTTACTGTTTGTCAAAAAGGGCCACGCTTTGCACCAATATCCTGAGTAATATTGTACCAGAGAGTTGGGGTCATTACATCCACCTGTGTGGCTCAGTGGTAGAACTTTGGGCGGCATAGCCGGGAGGTCGGATGTTGGAACCTGGGTTGAGGTGAATTTTTCATCTGTGGTATACGACACTTTCAGAAGGAAATACAAGTTCCAACAACCAAGATCATTAATGAAAAGCACAGTATGGGGGTGGTCGTACAGAAGGCCACACTCTGAGATCCGCTCAACAACACTTGGACAGAGGCCCACGAGCAAGCAAGCAACAAAGGCGTGCGCCCAATCAGTCTACCTTCTATCATGGGCAAAATCTATACAAATTATGTGAAAGAAGAATACAGCACCACCTACGGAAGTGGGGGCATCTGTCGCCAAATCAATATGGGTTCAGGGAGCGCAGGTCGACCGTGCATGCTATTGAAAACTATTGAAAAATTTTCACAAATGATGAGTTTGGAAAAGACCAGATGTGGTACCAGCAAAATAATGGATACAACCACAACTTACTATGCTCGTTATTAAGGAGGGGACTATAAATATCACTAATTTTGACCTACAGGTAATAGTTTCAATACTGTACTGTAATGTTTTGTCAGGTCATAACTACGTATAGTCCTATAAGACCCGTGCACTACAAAAAATTGTTGTAATGATAGGATTAATCGTTTTCGTAAATCCTTGACCGTCTTTTTTCATGTTTAGATGCCAGATAGGTATAGGTATGTAAAATGTCATTAGTGCAAAATATAATTGGATCGTAGATATTTCCTAGATATTAACAATGACCGTTGTTTACGTAACTTACCATGTTATTTGATGTGTAATGACATACCATCCAAGCGCATCGCCTCACATCTGATACGAAACGATATACACTAATGTCGTTTGTCTGTTGAACACAACAGTTCAAAATGCTGCGCCTGTTAATTCCCTTAATTTGTAGTGCAATATTTGTTTTAGTCGCCGGTGATGAATATCCTGTTGTTACAACCCCCTTGGGAGATATCAAAGGGCATTTGACAAAGAGCTACCAGGGTCGTACAGTAGTCGCATTCGAAGGCGTCCCGTATGCTCAACCGCCACTTGGCAAGCTCAGATTTAAGGTAACTAATTCTTCTCTTTGCGCTGCGTTTACGTACTACTGCCAAAGGAACCACAACCATTGGATCCTTGGTCAGATGTTTTGTTAGCGAATGACACTTACGTATGCCTTCAATTTATCCCTATGGGAATGAGCGGTACAAATATTGGTAAAAAGAAAAATATCATTGTAGTTTAATTACATGCCGAAATAGGTACGGAAGACTGTTTGTATCTCTACATTTACATCCCAGAAGAAAAATTTTCGCCTGATGGAAACTTGGACGTCATCGTTCACATTCATGGAGGCGCTTTCATGTTGGGAGCACCCAAGTTTTTAGGTGGCTACCAGTATATTACCGACCGTGATGTGATATTTGTGTCGTTTAACTACCGATTGGGAATTTTTGGTAAATTGAAAACATTAACCTTCTCGCTATCCAGATTTAGGATTTTTAAGTACGGAAGACGAGATCATACCCGGTAATTACGGTTTGAAAGATCAAGTTATGGCTTTAAAATGGATACAGAGTAATATTAAATATTTCGGTGGAAATCCTAATTCTGTCACGTTAACCGGATTATCGGCAGGCGCTGCAAGTGTACAATATCATTATTTATCGCCACTATCAAAAGGTATCTCGACGAGTGGATTAGTTAAATTCTAGCCCTGAGTGAAACATCAACGATTCTAGTGAGCATTATTTAAGGTTTATTTCATCGAGGATTTTCGCAAAGTGGAACGGCGTTGAATATGTGGGCTTTAACAGAAGAACCCTCGCTAAAAGCTCGTAAGCTGGGAGCTTTCCTTAATTGCTCTTATGAATCTTCTCAGGATCTGCTTGATTGTCTGGTAACCAAAGGTGGCCCAGAAATTATGCAAGCTTTAAAAAACTTTTTCGAATTTATTAACGCCGTTCCATTTACACCATTTGGTCCGGTGATCGAAAAAGGTCCCGACGCCTTTTTGCCAGATCACCCGTACAGTTTACTGAAGAAGGGTCAAATCAACGATTATCCTTGGGTGTGCTCAAATACAAAAAATGAGGGAATATACCCCGTGGGATGTAAGTATCACGCTAAACAACTGCTATTACTATTGAAGTACAGTTTTTGTTTTGTATAGGAAACTTAGTGAACTCGACGAAAAGTGGAATGACATTGCACCTTTTGCTCTGGACTATTTTCATACTACAAGTGATGAGAACAGAAGCGACATCACTAAAGAAATTCGATCTCAGTACTTAAATAACGAGGAACTGAACCTTGAAAATATCGACAAGTTGATTGACGTCAGTTTCGTAATTAGGTGTTTCACTTTCTGAAGCTATTTTACATTTTCAGTTGTTCAGCGATCGCGCATTTTTAGTAGATGCCGAGACAGCAGTAAGATTGCATGCCAAAGCCTCGAAATCTCCAGTGTACTACTATTTTTTCGAATATAAAGTGGGATTAAAAAGTTTCTTCCCTAAGGAGGTGTCAGGGGTAGCTCACAGCGACGATGGTAGGTTATTCGTACATATACTTGGAAACCCTCTGGTGTTCGAGGAATCTGACGAAAAAATGAAGAATTTATTCATGGATTTTATATACGAATTTGCCACAACAGGGTAATTTCGAGCACGTTTAGGCGGTACTAAATCGGACGTTTTAGAATTGCAAAGTTTGATACTGAGGAATGGATACCCGTTAATGATGATGAAATGATCAATTACATGCAGATTTTGTCCCCGGATATCGTTCAGATGAACAAACTCAGAAGGCTTACATCTAAAACCTTCTGGGATGACTTGCCCATTATTGAAAATGGACGATTGTATAATAATTAATAATGTATTTGTGACATTCTGAAGTACCACATGTGCGTATTGGTCGAATAATTGTAGAAGAAATTAAAACTTTTTGAGTATTGGTCATCTGTATCTGTGGAATTGTTGTTTATTCACCTTTTTTGTTATAGTTGTTTCGCTAAATATCGTAGCAGCATAACGTTTTTGTATTACAGCCCTATTTTACGTGAAGTTTATAACATTTTTCCAAAATGGTTATCAAATTGTTGGGGACATTCTAGCTTAGATTGTCTAACTATAACTTAAAATTTCGTACTTATTATTGCGCACTAAATCAATTACATTGTACTAAAATAGAATATAATTATATGTATATTGGCAGTGTGTGATTAATAGAGGTGGTTGTCGCCGCTATAATAAAGTGGAATTTTGTGCACATCAGGGTCTGGTGTATCAGTATCAGATTTATTTATTTAATAAGCTTGATTGAATTGAAAAGCTTAAATCAGTTGATGACTCACATTTGCAATTTCCTTCGTAAAATGGCAACACAAACAAACTCTCCTGCTCCTTTTATATGCTTCGTGCTACATGTACACAATGTATCAAAAACCGGGCTGACCTGGTTTTGCAGTAACGGAACTGGTTTCCAAATTCGGTTATTGTTTATAACAAAATTCAACAAATTCAAGCCCTTAGAGAAATCTCCACAATATTATATTTTCTCTCTACTCGACACTCCGTCTAAGATATTTGCACTAACAGTTTTGACATCACCAATAGATGCGTCTTGTGGAGACAATTTATTTTGCTTTTGTGAGTACTCTCCGATACACTGTTCTCCACATATTTTCACTTCAAATGGTGACCAGTTGTTAAGCTCAATAGGTTATTCTACATCTTCATACCATAATACGTCATTGGGGGTTGCCACTTCCACTTGAGGCATCCAACCTTTTTTTTATAACTTTTACTTTTATTGCGCTATTGGTACCAGTTTTAACCAAAATTTCGCATGGATACCTAGGTAGGTATATGTTCCTCATAGTTCACGCCGACATTCACATCATCAGAAGATCCGTTTCACTCTGCCGTTCTGTTGTATTATTAACGGTCCTCGAGATAACTTTGTGTAGAGACGTCCGATCGCTTTGAAAATCGATTAACATGTTCTTCAAGATAAAAGAAAGGTCGCTATTGTTTTTCGGCTACGTAGAATAACGGGCCAAAAAATTACAGCCCAAAAACTGCCCAAACCTCCAAAAAAGGGTTTCTTTTATAATTCTTTTCCTGTTACAATTTACAAAGAACATATGAATGTCCGGTTTTCTGTGTTAGTAAATATTTCAGCAAATGTACAAAACAAAATTGCGTATGCGAAACCCAACTTTTGTATTTGCGCAATCCCAATTTTGTTATCTGTTAAGATATTTAAATGAAATTTTGTACGTTGGCACCTTAATAAAAGTAAAACTAATGCGGAATCAAAAAATATGTTTTGCGCATGCACAATTTCAAATTTTTTGTTCAGATATTTAAATGAAATTTTGTATATACGGACCTCGAATAAAAGTAAAACTAATGGCGATTCAAAAATTTGTTTTACAAGCTATGCTGATCTGGTGGGACAGAATCAATCCCTTAAGGGGCTTAAGGTGCGTTATAAAAATGATGTATGCGCGAAGACCTCGAGGATCGTTCGGTATTCAGTTGTATCGGATTTTTTTTTTCTTTTTTCTTCTTAATTTGGTTTTTCTTTCTGGTTTTTTTTTCAAATTTCAAATTTCAACAAAACTAAACGGTACCAATAAAAAGCAAAAATTTACGAAAAATGCATACCATTTTACGAATTTCCTCCTTTGGTATAAGAAATTGGTCTTTGTTTAGTCTGTTTTTTGGAAGTAGAGCCGTAGAGGTTGCTTTGGAAACTCTGTGTTAGACTAGACAAGTTTAACATAGATCGGATAAAATTATTAAATTTCTAGATTAATTTATTGACATAATTCATCAACATATCTACACCTAAATTCAACGTATAAATTTGTATAAATAAATTGATTTGGTATTTAAGCAACCCTTGTTATAAGGGAAGTTCCTACTTATGTTAAAATAAATGTTTTCTGCTTCTTTCAGTTAGTCAATGCTTAATCCACCGGTAAAACGCACATTTTATGTACAGCGCGTTTATTACAGCACATTTTCCAATGAACAATTTCACTAGCGCAACACTATCTCCATCTGCGCCTCGAAAGAGCTGCTGTTTGCGTCCCATTGGCCATTGAAAAGATGGAGTGTTGATAATATTCTCAATGATGCTTCGTGGATCGAAGTTCCAGATCTACACTATAAATAAGTCAATGAAAAGTTGTGTTGTACCTATTCTTAAAACTTTCACCTCGAACTGAAGGATTGATAATAATTTAATTTGGTGACATGCAAAATTTTGTATAGAAATGTGTTTTCATTGGTACCCTGGTAGGTAAAGTGCCATATTGAATCCATTATTAAAACTTTGTTTCATCTTAGCCCAAATACTCATGTGGTATAAAAAGTAGAATGAATCAACAGAATACCAAAGCATCTATTCCTAGATTATCATCAGATGCATCTCTGGGGTCAGCTTGTAATTCTAGGTCGGATCAATCAATCACACTTCTTTCGTTCTTATATAAGACACTAACAACACATTCCACGTAACCTTAGTTAAATGTTTGTTAGATAATGGGTCGATGCAAAATCTTATTACTGTTAAATTAGTAGGTACCTACCTAAACATAAAACCTGATTTGAAAACAGAGCCAATTGAAATGGCCTTCCACTCAATTAACATTAATAAGGATTACAAAAGTTGATACCTAGACATTCTATTAACAACTGTTACAAACTAAAGCTTGATTGATTCATGGTTATTACAACAATTACAAAAAATGCCAATTGCTTCATTTGATTCTAGCAAAAATATAGGTACCAATCCCACACGGAACGTTTACGGTTAACGGATAAACATTCACAATAGGTTGTAATCATTTTTTATATAGGCTTTTGGTAGAAGAGGTAGAATTTATCTTGGCCCTATGGCACTCGTATTGCAGAATACCAAGTTCGAATACCTACATTATCACAGAGAATAAGTATCTATATAAGTAATTTTTCAGATACAACCAAAACACACTTATGTGCATCGAACAATGAGTTAGAATGTTAGATGATTCTCTGAAAATACAATCCCACACAATTCTAACGCTCTTTCATCCAGAAAGCAAAGAATATACTGCACTACTATGAGCGAATGCAAAAATAGTACCTAGTAATGCCTTCTAATATTTCGAAATTATTTGATCCCTTGGGATTGCTACACGGCAAGATTGTCGTTCAAAAGTTGTGGGATACTCGGGTCCAATGGGTTGAAGATGTACCTGATGGTATTAAAAACGAATATTTGTCTTTAATTAATGATTGTAGTACAACTACATTAATCTCGAACTGGACACGAGCCTAAGCCTAAGAGCGCATGAATGTATAGAAATTTGAAAACTCTTTATAGTCCTTATAAGTGGTAAGCTGTTTCACGTGTATTCTGACAATGGCACTATAATTTTGTACCATGAAAGAGTTCTACTTTGGCATGTCCGTTATCCTTCTAAAAATCATAAGAAAAGAACATTACAGAATTTATTAATAGCGTTGAGTGAAACACTTTAATTCATCAGAGTCCCCTCACTTTGGAGATTTGTACGGGTCCGACATAATCAATTATGTAAACACATTTGTATACAAAATGTTACAAGACACCACATTAAATTATGAATCTTTTAATACTTTGTTAGTTCAAAAGTTGAAGGTGTCATTGGAGAATATTCGAGCAAATCGATTGGATCAATTTCAACACCGACAGCTTATTTTATTACCCATTTTTGGCGTTCGTGGTCAAGAGAGATCTTACTATAGAATTTCAAAGGCGCACCAAAGATGTTTTTCAAGGTCCGACAATGATTAAGCAAGGAGAATTAGTTTCATTATCGGACACCAACACCTTTTCAATAGCCGATAAGCCGCATAAATAGGTACAGCAGCTCTTTCCGGGCGCAGATGGAGTAGTGCGTGCCGTGCAAGTGAATAAAGAAGAGGAAACATCCAATGAAACTTGATTTGAGTGAGTGGGTAAACACATGTTCTACCCTTCATGGTATTCCAATGAAAGGTCTCATCGAAATAAATTGGTTTGTACAAACTATAACTTTCCCGAAGGTCTCAACGAAAGAACGGATTGTCGGAGGAGGGTACTCACAAAGGGCGATTGAACGTCTTCAAGAAACATATCCTTTGGTGATGTCAAAACAGAAAAGTTATTTCGGTTAAAAAAAATGCGCTTTATCTGCACAGGAGTTGTGCACAATTTATACCTACTTGTTTTTATTGTGTATAGATGGGATTAAGTATTTGAAAAACTTTAGTTTCCTTTTCCTTCCCAAATCGGTTGTGTGTTTAGAGGCTGAATGTTGGCGTGAGGGACGAATAAACTTACTCGCTTGGAGTCTGCGGCCTTTATAGTTATCTGGATCTTGCTAGCACATTCCGGCTGATGGTCTGTGAGTCTGTGACCTATAGACCTATCTGCCCACAACAAATACATCGTGCGGTTGTTTGTAAATAATCAATAGAATTTTGTGTGTGCATAGTCCAACGGGCACATTGAGGTGGGTATGTTTCTGTAACCCCTGTGGTTCAGTAGCAATCTTAGGGTGAGGAGATATGGCACGCTGTAGATGCCCTTAACCCTTATAGGTGTGTTTTCAAAATCAACGAAATGTATTGGGAGGTTTCTTTTGTTACCTATTCTACTTAGGGGAGTGGGTTTGTGTATACACTACCGTAGTGTATAATGCTTGTAATTAGCATTTAACTCAGATTCCAATTCTGCTTTAGCTCCTTCGTGACGTATATCTTTAATGACCACGCGGATTTTTTTCTTGCTTTAACTGTTGAGTGAACGACTTCGTATTCAATGCTTAAACTAGAATGTATCATGTATCATAATTTATTAGTGATTTGTTTTTTGCCATACTATATATTTAAATTGGTTATGTTGATAGACTATTATAGTTTTTTGTTGGATCCCTTGAGGTAAGTATGTACCTAGTTGATGGTTCATTGTCGTCATCAGCGGTCAAAAGTTGAAATCATTATTGATAAATTTTCTAGGGGTATGGACAGTATGATTATGGCTCATCCTCTTTGAGGTCTATATTCTGAATTATTACTTGTGGTTGCTTCTTGGGTAGATTGTTAATCTGAGGGTGTGATGATGATGTTGCTTCATTTGTGGGGGAGATCTGGGTTAAAATGAAAACTTATAACTCATAAGTAAATCGGAATTAACCAAACTGCATTCATCATGGTATAGCAAAAAAGCAGGTGTGAGAAATAAAATGAATAAATTAGTAAGTAAAATACATATATATATACTTGAAGTACACACATCAATATCACCTTCACAATTTGACGTACCTTTTCACATGTACAAAAATATTATTATAATATTAATATGTATCTAAATTAAAGTAAATTAAGTAGGTATGCTTTATACTAATATGAAACTAAACAAGTTCAAACAAATAAACTAATATAATATTATACATAGAGCAGAGTAAAACCAAAATTCACAATATAACAGATTCAATTTACTGCAAGGAACTGGAATAACAACCTATAAACTAGTTACTATCCTATTCTAAGTTTAGAAAGCGTATCTCCTTCTTCCTTTATGCATCCTTGCATGATGTGACACTATGGAGCTATACCGGTCAGTATAAAATTCACAGTATTTGCACGCATACTTCCCCCGACTATGAGACGGTACATGTTCTTCTAATTCTACTTTAGAAGCACAGCGGAACCTACATCTCGAACAGAAGAATGGTAAAGCTCCCCTATGTTTTCTTTGATGGTCTCGTAAATATGAGGCACGAGCTAACTGCTTGTCACAAATATTACAAGTGACAGGGCTGGAAGTCATGTTATTTTGAGGACTTTTTGTACGTGTTAACGTTGATAATTGCACTGTAGATATCTCCAGCTCATTACTAACACATGTACTTTTCCGCCTCTTTGTGAATATCTCCATGCTGTCAGATATAGCAGACTCCATCTCATTCTGAGGTACAACGCACTTACTTCCATTAACCGGGCATCTTATTATTTCGTATCCCTTATGAATACGACTCATATGAGCTTTTACGTAATCTTTGCGATTGCCCACAAAGTTACACACGTTGCATCGGTAACCTACAACATCAAGGTGCGGTACAAGTTGACGCTTTAGTCTATTGTGTTTTGTATAAGCGTGCTGTTGCAGTAAGGTCCTGGTTGTGTAAATTTGGTCACACTTACTACAAACAAATCGCACATCGCCTGGCTGCACACTCACCTTAGCTAGGTATACCACACAGCTTTTTTTGGTTAAATTAGTTCTGCTTTGAACAATGCTTTGAGAGAAGGTGTACATACTATCACTGACATCGTCGACCACATTGCTTAACACCAAGTTCGATGTGCAAGGAAGATTTTGTTTTAAAACTTCATCTAAGACACTATTGAGCTCATCGATTACGTCCACATTGGAACCTGCCTCTAGATTATTATTCACACTCAATTCTTCTAGAGAAATGTCTTTGTCTTGATTAGCCTTTACAAAGTTACGTATGCGTTCCTCAGATCTAAGACATTCATTTTTAAACAAATAGGACTGGTGCAAGGAATCAACACAACGACAACACATGTACGCTTCGTCAATTAAATTGAAATTCTAAAACAACGACATTATTTACAACAAACTAAAGGGTTACTTACAATTTCGGGCATACAAAAGCGAAGCTCCGCTTCAATTTCTAAAGCTTGAATGCTGCTTTGCAACCTGACGCACTCATTGCCGTTTACTGACTTTAGACAAGTTCTGCAGGTTCTTCTCGTCATTTTGAAGAAGCAATTTTGTACGGGAAATCACCACTTACAAAAAAACCTAAGAACGCCGCTCCGCTTGGCTTTGATAAGACGTAAAGTTTGGTTAATGTAAATAGTAACTATTTGAACTACTGATAGTTAGTGCATCTACATACAATTTGAACTACGAGTAGACGCGATTTCTAATTGGAAATCACGTGACCACAATCTCAAGATGGTCGTCGTTTCTTACTTAACTTGTGTTCGTTACGTTATTAAATACCACTTTTTTTGTAGTAGTACATAATATGCAAAGGTCCTATTTCCAAGTACATTCCGATTGGCATGAGCATTCCAACATCCAAATCCGAAGAGGCCAACGACATCATTAAATAATTACCTACTTGGAATTCATTATCCGTACATCGCTATCACGCTAAGGAATTTGATAAAGGACCCTAGGGGAAAATGGGAACAATAAAAAGACCCTTTCCGCTATAGTGTAAATCATTATTGTTTTTGAGTTACCACAAAATTAAACACTTCCTTGCTTATGCACTACCTATTTGTACTTATGCTCTTGTGTCAGATGCTATTTTTTTAATACAAGCTATCAATAATTATTCGCGATAATTGCTAACTAGAAGTCCATTATTTCACACGCGCGCATTTTGTGTACCTATTTGATTTACCCAATCCGTAAACTTTGACCATTGTTCCGTTGTTTCTTCTTTCCCTTCTTCTCTTTCCATAAATTTGTTTCGATCTTCGTTAACGAAATCCTCATCATACTGATGAGTTCCCACATCTTTATGACCTGATATTTTAAATGTATTAAATGAAATTTGGGACTTTCATTTGCTAAATTTTGATTAGGTAGGTACCTACAGGGGTACCTACAGGGGTACCTACCTACCTCAATAAAAATGTATTCAATGAAAGGGTCTGGCAACTGGACAGGGTCTTCGAAAGCAGTGACAGGGGATCTAGTATCTCCAATACACAATTATGGCAGACAGCACTGACGCCAAGTGTTAATTTCCTTAATTTCAATCTCTTGTGATCGTGCTTTTCTACATTTTTCCTTTGGTGTAAACTGCTTGTGAATGCGAGAGCGAATTTTCCTTGTGGGAGCGAAACTTTTTGAGCAAATCTCTCGAGGGATATACATTTTCTTGTTATAGGTATAGAAATTCAATCTCCAGAATAAGATACCAATTCACAAAAGGGAAATGTTCTGGAATGCAAAACTGCAGACTCACATTAACAACAGGGCTTTGCTTCTTGACATATGTACAAAGAACCTTATCTTATCTGGCTATCAGTGCTTTGGGGGATGTACCCACCTTGTTAAAAAATTGAAAAGCACATGTAACATCATCTACTATACTTTGATTCGGCATTTTGTTACACAGTTTGATTATTCATTTTGTTGTTACGAAGCAACTACCACTGCCTGGAAAATTATTGCTTTTAGTTATTTACTTGAATATTTACAATGGAACTACTTCCTTGCAGTATTCAAACCTATCCAAATAATGTTCAGGAAGCTCTTCATGACATTTGTCTGCACCCAATTTATGAATTCTCACAAAGTCGTCACAATCCACAACCCCATCCCCATTGCAATCCTGTAAGCCCAAAAGTAAGAAAAATGTTAAGGTTTTAAGGACGGGAATAAATACCTTTTTTAATTTCTGCATGTACAGTTGAACGAGGTGGTACCCGCAGATAGGAGAATTTGCACACTTTTCAAAAGCTTTTGGGTGGCTGTTAGGGATCCGATTGACCATTGGCATTCCCGCTTCTATCCAATAGTCTTTTGAAACTCTAAACACCCCACAGCTATCCGTACAAGTTTTATTAAAATTTTGTGCAGAAGAAGCGTGGGCGATGCAGTTTATGCAACTGATGCTTACTGGCGTGTCCATTTTTTCGCAGAGAATACCTTTAAATTTTAGAAATCATATTACTTTTTCGCAAAGTGTTGCAGCAAAGACTCACCTATAAAGGGTAGCAATATCAAAACTAGAACTTGACGGTATTGCATTTCAAAACCACTAGGCTCAACGATCGTGTACCTATGTTTGAGTTGACGTCGCAATTAAGAACTAAATTACTCGGAGCATGCTCGTAGATAACCTTGCTTAAAGGATTATGAGAACTATTATGGACTGTACCAGATATAAGAATTTTCCAAATTTGCAAGGACGGACGGCCAAAACGCTAGTAATGGCGCACCTTCATGTGTTCGAGTAGTACGCTTTTTCAACACAGTAGTCTGAAACGGTAATTATGGTAAACATGCTAGATAAATGTTGTCTAAAACTCACCGACCCAGTAAGTGTATCGGAGAGCATGTCATACGAAGAAGCGATCCCAAAAAATTTCCAGTAACTATCGTTACATAAAGTTTCCGAACGATGTTTACTTGATCTAAAGTGAACTTATGTTTGGCCTTCAAAGGCTGGGAATTACGTATGACCAGTTTGATGTATTTACAATTTTCATATCTCCTTATATTATAGGTCAGTAGTCTTTCGACACATAGCCTGTACTGATCACTTAAGAAAACGGTGATTACCAGTTAACAAAATGTTGAAGCATGTCCTGTTATTCGTCCTGTTTAACCTTTTTTATACTTGTAAGTTTAATTATTTTAAGTAGGTACATATTGAAGTTTAATATTTGCATGCATACAAGAATTTTCGTATTATGGCGCACTACTAGACCTTTAGTAAGGTGATCAAATCTTTTGCTTGTATACTCTACTTTAAGAAGTTCTTCTTAAGAAGTTATCAGGGTAGAAAATGGAATAGGCCAAACAAATGTTAAAGATTGGCGTATTTTGTTTTCGACTGAAAGAATAATGGGGTATAGTATCCCTAAACAACTTCATGGATACCCTTGCGCCCTAAAAAGCAATTTACTATATCTATACGTAAACGCGGATATCTAGGTTCTTCAAATTTGAAGAAAACATTTGCTATTGTCCCCTATTGTCTGACTATGGATTACCTGGAGTGCATAATATTTCAATGAAAGAATAACTCACATAGGGGAAACGAAACCTTTGAAATCGCAATTATTGCTGCGAAACGTTTTCCAACAACAAAAATGAGAAAAAAAATGGTTACGTATGTGCTACCTTGGCATGCTGATTTATGTGTATTTTTCCATTCAAAGTAATGGAAAAAATGAGGCTTAAATGTGTTCATAAGAAAAATCCTTTGACCTCTTCCTGGTTCATATGGATGATGAAAGTTCAAATTGCGGATATTTTCATACTAGGGTATTTAATTTTAAATTGTTTGAAAAATAAACAAAAATTTATAATTATTTAGGGGTTGCGAATGTCACTAACCCAATAATTCAAGCACACGTTTGAGATTCCTGATGGGATATTGCCGTTTTATGAAAATCCATGAAACAAAAAACGTTATGGCACTTTCTCTCTCCTCTGCCTTCCCTTTTTACCAGATATATAAAAATACACGGAAACAAGGCTATTACTTATTTTTCCTCCCGTTAGGTAGCATCTATTTTCAGATAGACGGCGACTTAAAAGAATGGATTATTTTATTATTATTATTTTTATTTCCTTCGTTCTTCGTTCTCGTAATAAGGCATAAGTTATAATAGTTATTTCTGTTGTCTTTCATTTCTTTTCTTGACTTCCTATTGTAAAATTTATGATTTAAATTTCCACAATCACTGCGATTTGTTTTAAAAACATTACTGCAGCTCTATTTTCTAAGGTAATTTTTCATATCATATTGCAGTATTGCAGAAAAAGGTAACCGTTATTCTTAAAATTTTTAATTAATTTGTTCACTCAGGCTCTTTTGTTTTTATATCCCTTGATTTTTTTATATGTTGCATTATCAGAAATTGAATCTACAGTATTTTTGCTTTTTACACTTTTTTCCTAACTCCACTAATAAAAGAAAATTATATGCTTGGACACGCAAAATCAATCACACTGTATACATGAATATAGTCCTGGGCAAAGTACTTGCGCCACTATATCCTTTTAATAATTAGGTATAGCTACTTTTATTTCATGAAAGTGAACTCAACCAGATACGCTATAATCCTCTTCTAAAAATTGTAACGGTCGAAGCACCCGGAGAGGTTGAGATGCTTTTGAGAACCTTCTTTCATGAAAATGCATCACATGCATTACATGGATTTACGTACATATATGAAAACTATAAAGTATTTTAATAATTTTGACACTTTATACTGGTCAGGTACAAGTTCAAGGGTGGTTCGGTAATTCTGACCCGAGGAGGGGTGTCAATTTGTATTGGTATCTTGCAAAGGGTTGTAGATTTTCTCAGGTTCGTGGTATAAATTCTTTTTGTAATTTCTTCGTCTTGTTTTAGTATTTTAGTTCTTTTAGAACTTACCTTTTTGTACTTTTACTTCCAGCTAGCTAGGTGACAGGAAAGAATTTAGTTCGCTTCTATTTCACTGATATTTCATTAATTGATTAAATTTTGGCCAGTACTAGTCAACCAGAAGTTCGTTGTCTATATTGGGGCAGGTTATTCAAATGTTCATTTCCCAATGAGAGTTTTTACGATGTCGACAATGAAACCAAAGCAAGTCTGCGGTGTCGCTAATTTTCGGCGAAGAATTTTGGCACTAAATTCCTTTTCTTGTACTCACTTTTATAACAAAATTCTCAATTACCTAATATTTTTAAAACAAAATGTAAGCGCATCGGAACATTGTTATTTTGAGTATGGTAACCGCAAACTTAAAGTCCTAGATGATTTTTCAAATGTTATTTCAATAAGTGAATCATCCTTTTCTTAAAAATTAAAATTTAGTTACCTAACTATATTAATACAGACAGTAGGATACTTATGTAGTTCAGTATTGAAATTAAATCAAATTCAAATAGTGAGGTTGCTTAATGTAAAATTTGGCCACTATATTTACAAACAATTTTCGAAAGGTTGCCACTTCGAGGAGTAAGTGGGAACCCTTTTTATAATGGTTCGAACCCCTGAAACTTGACATTGTGCCATTTTTCTCGGTAATTTAAACTTTTACAATTGTTTTCCTAGTACAATTTTGTGGGCCGCGAAAAGACTTTTAAAATGATACCAACCATGTATACCTTCCACTTCCAGTTGCTCATGTACACCAAAAGTTATGCAAGGGTAAGAATGACATGTTTTAACGCGAACTTTCTGCATATTAACTGAGATTGATGTACGCTTAAGACCCGATATTCTTAGAATTGGCATATTATAATTGGTGCTGTGCACGCCATGTTAGCCTTCTCGCTCTTGCAAGTCTTGCTGAGTCTCGCGGCCCACAAAATTGTACTAAGGAAAAAAATGCAAACACTCAAGTTTCGGAGAACAATGGCAAAATGTCAATTTTCAGAGGTTCGAACAAAAGGGTTCCCACTAACGCCTCGAAGTGGTAACCCTCTGAAAATTGTTTTTTAAGATCTCAAGAAGCTTCATGAAAAATTTTGTGCTTTTATGCGGCTGGTAAATATCTTTTCACCAAGCGACCTCACTAAAACACCAAATCCTATATTCTAACACTAACCAATATCACCTGTCGGTTAAGCTATTGTAAAACCTCTCGGAGGAAGAAAATTATGCTACTCAAGGATTTCATTGTTCTATGCTGAAATGTGGGATAGTAGGCAAATGCGTATTTTGTCACTAACTAAGGGGACTGCCACAGTCTACGCAAATAAAAAAGAGAAAAGGTTTGACGATTCGGTAGTTTTCTTGAATGAAGCTTCGTCTTCTTCTTGTGGATATGATGTGAAGTAAGTAGGTATTGGTAATCGTTTCTTCTCTCCCAAAAAAAAATACCTTTCATACTTATTTGATTAATCCTCCGTTTTTGTTAAATAATAAATAAATTTTAAGACATCTCAAACTACGAGTATAAATGTGGTGTATTGTGGAATGTGATCCTTATGTACATGACTGGCTTGACACCATTTCTGGATTGTAAGTTTTAATTTTAATTCTCTCAATTTTATGTCTACTCTGTTTCATTTATTTAAAAAATTTAAAAGAATTATTGGTATCAATTTGTTTTTATAATATGGACGAATTTTATCAATTTGTAAAACCTTAGTTTAAAACGTATTTGACTTGTTGTAAACCTTTTGACGTTTATTTTAGTGCTTTCGCAAGAACCGCACTAAAATACTAATAAATATTATTATTATTATTATTTAACAAGTTGTTGGGGGAAGTGCCAATTGTTGGAAATTTTCTTGTAAACAAAATTAACATTCTTTAGGGAAGATATTACCACCATCGCACAAATTCAGTAGAAACTGCTCTTTTCTGTGCACTATGAACATACGTCGTTAGAGTAACGTACAAAGAAACACGTTTTCAGTTAATTGCTAGAATAAAACTAACTTCTGATGCAACATTTTATTTTGAAAGTATCATATGTTGTTCGTCCGAAACAAAAACAACAAAAGGTTAAGAGAAATCCTTACTCACTTTTAAAGCTTGCAGTTGCTCAATAGTTCTTCCTTTTTCAAAAACTGCCTGTGTTAGAGGGGGTGATGTCAATTTTACTGCAATCTAATATAATTTTCGTGGTTCTATAGTGCTATTTCGTGCTTTATGACGCATTGGAAAATTCTGGTATGCACTTGCATCCAACTATAAAAAGCAATCTCACAAGATCTCATTTTAGGTGCACATTCTGAAGACGTGGACGTCCCGGTGCCAGAATTCTGCTTAGGATGCATTTGTCGCGCAGCTTCAGACTGTGACACGTCAACCCAATGTGAAGGTGGAGCGTGCGGCCCATACCGGATAACGAAGGAATATTGGATTGATGCCGGAAATCTGACGTACAACGATCACTCTCCAAAGGAACACGAATCGTACGTGAAGTGCGCTGTTAATTTTTATTGCTCGGTACAGACCATTCAGAATTACATGGGTACCTTTAAAAAGGTAGGTAGGTAGTTGATGGTGAAAATGGCGAACTGATTTTGCACCTTTGTAGGATTGTGATGGGAATGGAAAGATCACATGTGAAGACTTTGCTGCGATACACGCTCTCGGGGCAAGTCAGTGCCACAAGAAGTGGCCGAAAAATTATAAGAAACGTTTTGACGCGTGTAAAGCTCAGTATCAGAAATAAAGAATACATTTCCGTGTGTTACAGTGATTTATGTCTAATTTTTTCTTAATAAACCATACAGCGTTCTTACATTTTTGTTAAAGGGTCGTTGATTTTCAGCTACGTTGTCCAAGAAATTTGACATCCCTGTCAGTGTGCGCTGCATCAACTGCATTTGCCAAGCTGCAACTGCATGCAACAGTAAAGATGGTTGCCGCGGAGAAACTTGCGGACCATTTGGCATTAGCCGAGAGTACTGGATTCAAAGTGGAAGACCAACAGTAAATCGCTTAAAGCCCGATGATCCCGAGTCTTTTCTCAAATGCGCGAACGATTTTTACTGCTCCTATTTCGCCATTCAAAAATACATGGAAAAGAATACGAGGGTAATTATAAAAAACATTAACTTGCATTTGGCGTTAACACTGGCAATTTTTAGGACTGCAATGGTGATTCCAAAATCGATTGTGATGATTTTGTAGCCATTCACAAATTGGGCCGTGAGAATTGTACGCAACAATTGCCTGAAAGTTACGCGGAGCGCTACGACTATTGCCAATCTGTAATATCTGATTAACTCAATTATTGAAAAATATAGTTAAACTGCTCAAGTGCTTTATTTAGAATTTGTTTGGAATTACATTGTATGGCGTTGTTTCACAATTTTGAGTGCTCAATCTTGAGAAAAGTAACAACAATGCAGGAGTCAGGACGATTTTTATTTAAATCTTAGAGGCAGAACACGAAGAACACCTGTAGCTGATAGGTGTACTCATTGCAAAGAACATGGTTTGCCTAACCATTTCCAAAATGTCGATACCAATCTAGCACTTATTTTTCTGCATTGTGGTTTTGGAGACCCTTCTACAAATTCAGGCGGTATTTAACCTTCTCTATAAGAACATCGTACTTTTTATCTTTGTTAAAGATGTCGATCGATTAATTTAGGTCTGACGTGAGCAATATAATAGTTATTTACATAAAAATCAGGAAAACGACACATTACTGGCGAGGAAGTGTTGAAGAGTGAAGTAGTGTCATTTTACTGACGAGTTTTGTATTAAATTTTACCCGAAATTGTATATTAATATAAAATTTCAACTTTCTTATAGAACAATCTGTCAGTGATGTCAGGAGTCATCAAAAGTATATACCTAATGTTATGATTGATAGTATCACTAAAATGCACAGGGTCGAAATTAACGTGCAATCCAGGCGTAACTCAAGAAAAATCTCCGTAACTACGCTAATAGGGAAATCACAAAGAAACCATTATCATATCGGAGGTAACCTATCAAAAGATATCATAAGAAAATCAAAAGGAATCAAAGGAAATCAATGGAAGTCAAGCAAGGTTAAAGAAAATCAAATAAAATTACAGCAAATGAGAAGAAATCAAAAGACATCAAATGGAATCTTTATATAATAAAATTTTTCCGTACGTTTGTTGACGGGTGTGTCCTTGGATGGTTTAATTCACAATTGAGCCCGATCAGATTATAGGATTTTCTAAAAACTTCTTTTTTCGTTGATGTCGCACTGTGCTATTGTGATGATGTGGGGACAGATGATATTGTATATTTACCAACGTAACTAGCTGAATATTAGTACTGTGTTGGGACTTAAAAAATATATTAATTTCAGACGCATCACTTGCACATTTTCATCTTTTCCCTTGTCTTCCATTTCAACTTGTAACGCAAAAAGACCGGAGTACGTAATTTTAGGCGACCTAAAGATCCTCCAAGGATGGCGCATAGCGTATAATAGTTTTCGAGGATAATGAAAGTCATTGCTCTCTATCCGATAACGGCCTAAAACAAAAATTCCCTTCCAAACAATAATATATTACCATATTGAACGCGTTTCTACAGCAAGGTTGTCATCATCAGCAAACAACTGAATTTTTCTGGTGATAACAGCCTTGCTGTTGAAACGCATAATATATTATTGTGATTTCTTGCTGTTTTTGTTTTGCTTTTTATATAACATAGCATCAGCCTACGAAAAGTCAGATTTTCTGATCGGCAACATTTATGCAACTAATCATATTTGTTGCTAATGTCACAGCAAAATCCCACCATAATTAATATCCCTTCAGAACTCCAATGCATTGAACGCTATAGACATTGTAACGTTAATTTAATTACGTGCTTTATTTATTTACAATTACTAAAATAAATTTAGAATAGACTTGTAACGAATTGATTTATAACAGCTAAAACATTATTTTATCGCCCACATATACACAATTTATAACAGCGCGAAATATTTATTACTGCGGCGTTGAAATTAGAACTGTTCTGAATCATAGCAAACACGTCACATTTCTCGGCAAGGTTACGTCGTTCTTTGTCGCCGATGTGTAACCTTTCAAGGCGCCTCAATGTCTATCGGGATTTCTAGAATATTCACTACACTGCGCCCGTCCTAAAACTGTACTTGCAGGTAGACCCTCTTGTGCACCTTCCATTCTTAAAGAAAAAGCAATCTACTGTCTTCCGAATCGGATACGGGGTTCCTCTGGGGTTCAAACAACATACCAATATTTCATTCCGGTGCCCTGGAATATGACCTCCAACATATTGCGCACAATGTGCCAATCCAACCTATCAAGACCACATCCGATCTTAGGAATTACCAGCTTTGTAACGCCATGAATCTGTAGTTTTCGTTTCAAGTGCTCTAGCGTATTCCAAAAATCTAGTCCATGGTCACCAAGATGTATTTGTTTCCAGAATCTGACTCTGGGAAGAGCTCTGCGATATCAATGGCGATGTTTTCAAATGGACTACCCACATTATCATTGGTACTTTCTTCTATCGTACTGGTGCGTTGCTTGTAGCACAAACTGCACATTTTCTGCCGCATCTCGAACGAGTCTCTCTGAGCCTAATTCGTCTTTAATACGGGACCATACCGAGATACCTCTTCCCAGGTTGTTGTGAACAGTGTTGACAATCCTGAGGACATGGCCTGCTAGATAAGGCACCGGCACCTGGCCTTCTGAACTCTTAAATTGCAATAACCACCGCAATGAGGCATGGTCGGTCCTTACTTCCGGCGATTCAGATACGTATGCAAATTTTCGATTGTCTTAATCACTGATAACAGATCCCTTCGGGTGACACAATAATTGCGTTCCGGTCTAGAGAAGACTTTACTGAAATATCCGATGATTCTCTCTGCCGTCTTTTTTCTTCACCAGCACCCCAAGTCCAAAGGCTATTAGATGGTTCAACTATTCTTAGCCGCATGTCGCTGATGATCTTCTCAGCCTCCTCGCGTTTAAGCCATGGTAATCACCTCGGATGTTGATTAATATGTTGGGCATCCCCCGTATTTATTTTGTGTTACCACTGCTTCGGCCGATAAGTCCTTTCTCCGAAGCAAACACATCTTAATAGAGGGAAATTAACAAATACTTTTAAGCATCGCAAGAATAATAAATATTGGAATTGAGTTGGCCCCAGTCAATTTTTTAATTTATTAATTAACTTGATTTATTTTTAATCCTTAATTAACCTAACTAAATCATCGTTTTTGAAACGGGACATTAATGTTTTAATTTTCATATACTCTTCACTTGGCCAGCGAATAACCTCTCGCGTACTATAAGTCTAGCCAATTAAAATTTGGTAAAGTAATGTTTTTGTATTTCCGGACGAGTATCCTCCTCTTAACGGTAAAATAGGCACTGTTCCGGACTCCGAATGGTCACTTAAACTAAAAACTCAATAAAGCAATTTTTTTCTTATATTTCCTACCGATATCGTTACTTTTTCAAGTGGTACTATTACCCCAAATTCCTGTCCCCGAATTATCACGAACAATCATCTTTGTGCAAAAGAAAATGGGATTCTATGCAACCAGACAACGTGATATGCTTTTTTCCAAGAAATAAGCCTCAAATATTTTGTCCCATCTCTAATTACGACCTTGGCATCATTGTAATAACTATTCAGTATTTTGGATAGTGTAATCTCATCTTCAACAAACATGTTACTGTATTTGTGCGTAATATTAAGTTTTTTAACATGTGAGTAGTGTTTTCTTTATTTCTTAGTATCCTTCCGTTTTTGTATGAATACACACCTGCACCACTATAAATAAAACAAGAACCGTCAAACCCTTTTAACAAGCGCAATCTTGCTAAAATGCTCTTCCCAGAGACGTTTACCTACCACACTTCAAAAAGTTTTTGGCGTGCTAGTTTTTGGCTATATTTTGAATAACTTGAAATCGTAGTAAACTTTTTAATTTCTTTGAATTTGGATACATCCGATTGTTCCCAACTTGGGGGAGGTTCTTTTAAATATTAAAGCTTTACAAAAGACGCCCACAATTTTGATTCATAAACTTGAATTGTCGATAGAAGTTAATTAGGTACCTACTTGCTACTTGCTATAAAGCTCAGCGTTTTCAGAGGTGGATGTTTTGTGTTTAATTTACTGCTATCTTAGTGTGTCCCAAATCTCCCCATAAAATGCACAGTTCTCCTTAGTAGAAGGTATGCCACTTTCGGATACCACCGCTACTCCTATGAAAAAGGCTATTCCAGTTCTGGTACAGATTTCAATTCCCTTTTCCATCATGGGATTTGGGAAACAGCTTCTACTAGAATATTTTCCTATGCAGTCGAAACCGAGGTGCATTTCTACCCTCGATTTTCCACTCCATTATCAGAGTAGTGTCCGTTAGAAGTCGCGTTTCTATCGCATTGGTAATACTATTTCTCTTTTTGAACGCTCATCTCTCTCGAACTTGCATTGACACACCCGATTCGGCAAGCTGATTCGTATTCATTCCAGGGCATGTACAAGGGCATTTGTCTTCCAAGCTGCTTCGCGGATTGAACATCGTCTTGAGCAGCATCATTTCCATAAAATATTGATTTATTTCATCGTAAAGAAGTTCTCACCCATGGTAATTCCCTACCACCTCAGTGGTCCTCTTATTTACGGACTGTAGTAGAATCTTTGCTGTACTGGTTTAATTAGGTTCGACCTGTTGTTTTTGGGTCTCTTCTAGGAACTATGTTGGTTCAGTACCCGTGATTTGAGTACAACACACATTTACTTCCAGGTACCAAATCAGATTTTGTTGATCTTCCCGTAGCCGAGGCTTGCATAGCGTGCCTCTGTGGCATGATGTCCCTCTGTGACACCAACACTTTGTGTGATGGGGACGCTTGCGGACCATTTAGAATTAATCTGGCATACTGGATTGCCGCAGGAAACTTAACAATAAATAATGACCCACCAACGTCGTACGACTCGTTTCTGAAATGCTCCAAAAACTTTTTTTGCGGAGCTTTTTCAATTCAAGCCTACATGAAGATCCACAAGAAGGTTTGCGTTTCACGAAAAAAAGAATTAATTATGGGACTCAAATCGTTTACTTTTATTTGCAGGATTGTAATGGCGATAGCAAAGTGAATTGCGATGATTTCGCTGCAATTCAACTACTTGGTCCGGAGAGGTGCTCAGAAAATTGGCCGGACGAGTACAAACAACGCTTTCATGTTTGCAAATTAAAATTTGGTTGACTTGTTATTCACTTTCTTTTCATTTAAACAAATAAATTTAGACGGCCGCCGCTTTTTTAAATATTTAGGTGGGTACAGAAGAAAAATAGAACCAGAAGCCATAAAATTTATATTCGCTTTGGAATATTATTTCACGAATTAATACTCACAAAGAAGCAATATCCTGGTTCCCTCGTCCCTGAAAAATTTGCCTATTAAAATTCGTTCCTGTTACTACAGAATATTCGCCCCAAAAGAAATCGGCCCTAAAAATCTGTCCACAAGAAAACTCCTCTTTATAAAAGCTTACTACGGGAACATTCACCCCCCAAACTAAAATTTTCGGAAGCGAGTTGATTTGAATTGGAGTTTGGAGCACATCTTCCTTCCGGGGAGACGAATTACAGCAGTTTATAAGTTCTCTCACTAAAGATTTCTCGCAGTGATGAGTTCTAATGATACGGTGCTGAATATTATTAGATATAATAATTTATACCTTATCCTAAAGGTGTAGATTAATTAATACCATAGGATTTTCCGTTATTAATTAATAATACAGAGCCTCAAAACTAATCACTTAAATTTCCTTATTAAATTTCCAATGTAGTACTATATTTTTTAATTTCATACCCTACTTAGATAACCAACAACACGCATCTCTAAAAATACATTTCATATAATTTGTTGTTATTTCGTGTTTACATTTGCCTAATATATGATTAATGGTTTTCACTCGGGTTTTCATTTTAAACACATAACTTTAGTTGCACAAACATGTTAAGTATACGTAATTTGTGTTTTGTGATTGTAAGCTTGTGCTGTTCTATCCATCGTAAGTATATTGCCCTTTGCTTTTACATCTTCGTAAGGGAATAAAAGAAAAACGTGACCTTTGTTTCGGTAGTTACCCTTTACTGCCGAAAATTTTCTAATAAAGTATTCTAATGCACAATTTAATATGGGCACAACTTTCAGCGTAATTTCTTGTATTGCTGCTACATCAATTCTCATTCCAGATGGGTTCTGCAAGGACGTTGACAACCCCGTAACCATCAACTGCTATAACTGTCTTTGCCAGGCTGCAACCGGTTGTAATTTCCAACAATCATGCCACGAAAACTCTTGCGGCCCATTAGCCTTTTCAAAGGAATATTGGAATTCCACGAACAGGCCCACAGTCAACAGGGTACCTTCTTCGGCCCCTGAAGCTTTCGAGGTCTGCGCTCGCAGCCTTTATTGCTCTTACTTTATGATCCAAAGGTACATGGAAAAACATAAAAAGGTCAGTAGCTTGGGAAAGGCCACGAGTTAAAATAAGAAACAGTTTTTGTTAGGATTGCAACGGTGATGGAAAGATAGACTGTGATGACTTTGTAGCAATTCATAAATTAGGACCAGACAACTGCGATCAAGAGTTGCCCGAAAGTTATGCAGAACGCTACGACTATTGCCAATCTCTAGTCCTTTAAATTAAAATGGCAACGCTCTAATCGCCCATGGCTGGTATTCCACTTCCATGTACTGATTTTGATAAATAAGTATTTCAAGGGAAGCTACGAAAATAAAACCCTCTACACAAACTACCCATAAATATACGTATTTAACTGAATGGTAACACTGATTATTGAGTATTGCCTAACCAATGGGTTTAGATAGGCACGCCATCTTTTATTTGCCTAGAAAGGCACCAGACGGTTGTTGAACTAGGAGTCTAAAGTCTCAATGAGTCTTAACACATTAGAGTTGAAAGTCGACACGTGTAGAAAAACTGCAGTTGAAGTTGATGACCCTTTTGATCTATCTATACAATTTGCGGTCTTTTTGCCATTCTGGGAAAAATTGTTAGAATTATGCGGATCGAGGAGTAAGCTAACAACCCGCTAGATTGGTTGAACTGTAGTTACAATGGAAATTTAGGTAAGTACTATCTTTGAACATATTTTATATGCACTATAAGGAATCGCGAACAAGGAAATGTTATTGCATTTTGACCATTCCAATACATTAATTACACACGCGAGTGTTTTGCAGTTATTTTGGAATACCACCTGATTGGCATATTTCCCATAATCTTTTGAACACATGAATAGTCAATTAGATAATATGTTAAAATGCCACCTTACATAACCGCATCATCTGAAATTATTACTTAAAAAAGGTAGAGGCCAACTTCCATTTTTAGTTTAAAACCAAGGCTAAAATTGGAATAACTCCATATCACATTAATTTTATTAGCTTTTGTAAAAAACAACAATCGTCCTTATATAAATATAACAAACATTCACATCTCTTATCGCTATAGTGTGTAGGTATTTAAAAAATAATGTTACTGAAAGCGTCGGGTCTGTAATGCGAACCGAAAGGAGGAAGATACTCTTCTGCGTTGGTGGAAGTTTTCATTGGAAGGGGTGTCACATCTATTGGTCGAGAATGTAATGAGGGTTGGAAAATGGGTGGGGAGTAAGGTTTTGAGGTTACGGGAGAATATGGTTTGAAAGTCGATGGTTGTTTGGTTGCTGGGGGTGAGTAACTTGGTTGAATGTAGGGTTTTTGTGTGCTAAACGTGTTTATTGCGGAAGGAAATGATGGACTTGGGTAGTAGGGTTTGAAAGTTACATCTATTGGTCGAAGTGGTGATGAGGGTTGGAAAACGGGTGGGGAGTAAGGTTTTGAGGTTACGGGAGAATATGGTTGGAAAGTCGATGGTTGTTTGATTGCAGGAGAAGTTTTGGTTGGAAAGGGTGTCACATCTATTGGTCGAACAGGTAATGAGGGTTGGAAAACTGGTGGGGAGTAAGGTTTTGAGGTTACGGGAGAATATGGTTTGAAAGTCGATGGTTGTTTGGTTGCTGGGGGTGAGTAACTTGGTTGAATGTAGGGTTTTTGTGTGCTAAATGTGTTTATTGCGGAAGGAAATGATGGACTTGGATAGTAAGGTTTGAAAGTTACAGGTTTGTAGGTTTGGGGAACGTATGGTTTTGAAGTTGATGGTAGTTTCGTTGTTATAGGCGAGTAACTTGGTTGAACATATGGTTTTTGGGTAGTAAATGGAACCTTAGGTGGTGGTGACGAATATGACGGACTGGGATAGTATGGTTTTGGAGTGACAGATGGCGAATATGGTTTGTATGTTGGATAACTGTGGGAAACGTATGGCTTTTGTGTTGTAAATGGCCCAGTGGTAACAGACGAAATGCTGCCACCTTGTGACACCAAACCATTAAAAGGGAAGGACGAATCTTTAGTGGGTATAGGGGGTAAGTACGTAGGCGCAGTATATATAGGTGTAATCTCCGGTTTTTTAGTTTGTATTACGCTGAAACTGGGTTTTTGCGTAGTAGAAGGTGACGAAAAGACTGGCGGCACATATGGTCTTTGAGTTGTAGACGGCAATGAAAAGACAGGAGGTATATAGGGTTTCTGAGTTGTTGACTTCTGCACAAATGTTGGAGGAACGTAAGGTTTCTGCGTTATTGCTGGTTGGACATAAGGTCTTTGTGTAGTAGAAGGTAATGAAAATACAGGCGGCACATATGGTTTTTGCGTTGTAGATGGCCCTAAAAATGTTGGGGGCGCATAGGGTTTCTGTGTTATGGCTGGTTGAACGTACGGTTTATATGTCGATGGTTGCAAAAACGTCGGGGGAACATAAGGTTTTGGCGTTATTGCTGGTTGAACATAAGGTCTTTGTGTAGTAGAAGGCAATGAAAATACTGGCGGCTCATAAGGCTTTCGAGTCGTAGATGGTTGCAAAAATGTCGGGGGAACGTAAGGTTTTGGCGTGATGGCTGGTTGAACATAAGGTCTTTGTGTAGTAGAAGGTAATGAAAATACAGGCGGCACATATGGTTTTTGCGTTGTAGATGGCCCTAAAAATGTTGGGGGCACATAGGGTTTCTGTGTTATTGCTGGTTGAACGTAGGGTTTATGTGTAGTAGAAGGCAGGGAAAATACTGGCGGCTCATAAGGCTTTCGAGTCGTCGATGGTTGCAAAAACGTCGGGGGAACGTAAGGTTTTGGCGTGATGGCTGGTTGAACATAAGGTCTTTGTGTAGTAGAAGGTAATGAAAATACAGGCGGCACATATGGTTTTTGCGTTGTAGATGGCCCTAAAAATGTTGGGGGCGCATAGGGTTTCTGTGTTATGGCTGGTTGAACGTACGGTTTATATGTCGATGGTTGCAAAAACGTCGGGGGAACATAAGGTTTTGGCGTTATTGCTGGTTGAACATAAGGTTTTTGTGTAGTAGAAGGCAATGAAAATACAGGCGGCACATATGGTTTTTGCGTTGTAGATGGCCCTAAAAATGTTGGGGGCACATAGGGTTTCTGTGTTATGGCTGGTTGAACGTACGGTTTATATGTCGATGGTTGCAAAAACGTCGGGGGAACATAAGGTTTTGGCGTTATTGCTGGTTGAACATAAGGTTTTTGTGTAGTAGAAGGCAATGAAAATACAGGCGGCACATATGGTTTTTGCGTTGTAGATGGCCCTAAAAATGTTAGGGGCACATAGGGTTTCTGTGTTATGGCTGGTTGAACGTACGGTTTATATGTCGATGGTTGCAAAAACGTCAGGGGAACATAAGGTTTTGGCGTTATTGCTGGTTGAACATAAGGTTTTTGTGTAGTAGAAGGCAATGAAAATACAGGCGGCACATATGGTTTTTGCGTTGTAGATGGCCCTAAAAATGTTGGGGGAACATAGGGTTTCTGTGTTATGACTGGTTGAACGTATGGTTTTTGTGTAGTAGAAGGCAATGAAAATATTGGCGGCTCATAAGTCTTTCGAGTCGTCGATGGTTGTAAAAACGTCGGTGGAACGTACGGTTTTGGCGTTATTGCTGGTTGAACATAAGGTCTCTGTGTAGTTGAAGGCAATGAAAATACTGGGGGCACATAGGGCTTCTGCGTTGTGGATGGTTGCACAAAAATTGGGGGAACGTACGGTTTTTGCGTTATGGCTGGTTGCACGTAAGGTTTTTGTGTAGTAGAAGGAAACACAGGTGGGGAATAAGGCTTTTGAGTTGAAGATGGTTGCGAAAAGGTTATTGGTTTTCTGGTTATAGGCGGCAAAGAAAATGGAATTGTTGGTCTGGGGTACGAATACCCCTTTCCTGACGTAGACGATGTCTCTTTAGAACTGAAAACGTTATGAATAAACGAAGTACTTCCATCAGGTTTAGAGAATGGTGTGTATGGTTTCTGTGTGGGTTGAACGATTGCAGTGGGCTTTTGGGTTGATGGTTGAACAAATACATGCGGTTCATATGGCTTTTGGGGCACTGACGGTTGATTAAACACGGGAACGAAGGGTTTTGGAGTTTGACTAAATCCTGGAGGCGAATATGGTTTTTGGGTTGACGGTTGAAGAAATACGGGCGGTTCATATGGCCGTTTGGTTGTAGTTGACTGCGTAAATACAGGGGGTACGTATGGCTTTTGAATTATTGATGGTTGAATAAACACGGGAACGAACGGTTTTGGAGTTTGACTAAATTCAGGAGGCGAATAAGGTTTTTGGGTTGAGGGTTGAACAAAGACAAGTGGATTATATGGCTTTCCTGTTGTTGATTGAGTGAATACTGGGGGTACGTATGGTTTTTGAGTTACAGAGGGTTGGGTAAACTCGGCAACGAATGGCGAATAAGGCTTTTGGGATGATGGTTGAGAAAACACCGGCGGTTCATAGGGTTTTCTTGTTGTTGTTGATTGAGTAAATACAGGGGGAACATACGGTTTTTGCGTTACCGAAGGTTGGTTAAATACAGGAACGAACGGTTTTTGAGTTTGAATGGATTCTGGCGGAGAGTACGGTTTCTGGGTTGAGGGTTGAACAAATACGGGCGGTTCATATGGCCGTGTGGTTGTAGTTGGCTGAGTAAATACTGGAGGCACATACGGTTTTTGGGTTACCGATGGTTGATTGAATACGGGAACGAAAGGTTTTGGAGTTTGACTAAATCCTGGAGGCGAATATGGTTTCTGCGTTGAAGGTTGAACAAACACCGGCGGCTCGTATGGCTTTCTTGTTGTTGTTGATTGCGAAAATACTGGGGGTGTGTAGGGTTTAAATACAGGGGGAACATACGGTTTTTGTGTTACCGAGGGTTGGTTAAATACAGGAACGTATGGTTTTTGGGTTTGAATAAATTCTGGCGGAAAGTACGGTTTCTGGGTTGAAGGTTGAACAAATACTGGCGGTTCATATGGCCGTTTGGTCGTAGTTGACTGGTAAATACAGGGGGTACGTAGGGCTTTTGAGTTACGAGGGTTGGCTAAATTCGGGAACGAATGGCGAATAAGGCTTTTTTGAAGGTTGAAAAAACACCGGCGGCTCATAAGGCTTTCTTGTTGTTGTTGATTGAGTAAATACAGGTGGAACATACGGTTTTTGTGTTACCGAGGGTTGGTTAAATACAGGAACGTATGGTTTTTGGGTTTGAATAAATTCTGGCGGAAAGTACGGTTTCTGGGTTGAAGGTTGAACAAATACTGGCGGTTCATATGGCCGTTTGGTCGTAGTTGACTGGATAAATACAGGGGGTACGTAGGGCTTTTGAGTTATCGAGGGTTGGCTAAATTCGGGAACGAATGGCGAATAAGGCTTTTGGGATGAAGGTTGAAAAAACACCGGCGGCTCATAAGGCTTTCTTGTTGTTGTTGATTGAGTAAATACAGGTGGAACATACGGTTTTTGTGTTACCGAGGGTTGGTTAAATACAGGAACGTATGGTTTTTGGGTTTGAATAAATTCTGGCGGAAAGTACGGTTTCTGGGTTGAAGGTTGAACAAATACTGGCGGTTCATATGGCCGTTTGGTCGTAGTTGACTGGGTAAATACAGGGGGTACGTAGGGCTTTTGAGTTACCGAGGGTTGGCTAAATTCGGGAACGAACGGCGAATAAGGCTTCTGGGATGACGGTTGAAATACGCTTGGTTGCCTTGTTGGAATTGTAAATGGAACACTGGGTTTCGGGTACGCATAACCAGTTACCTTGGAATACGTAAATTCATTTGAAGGTTTTTCAGTGATTGATGGTTTTGTGGTAACAGACACGGGAACGCTCCCTGCCACATCAACGGGCTTCGAAGAGAATGTGGGTGGAGAAAACGGTTTATAGGGTTTTAGTGTCTGCTGCACTTGATTAAAAGAAGGTGGCACGTAAGGTTTTTGTGATGTCGAAGGTTGTTGGGAAAATGGGGGAAAATAAGGCTTTTGTGTGGAAAACTGGGTGTATGGACGCTGAGGTTCGACAGAGGTGTGAGGTTTCTGTGTTGGTACCTCATAAGGCTTTTGAGTCGAAGGTTGTACAAATACAGCCGGCACAAAAGGTTTTTGTGTAATCGACGGTTGCGGAGGAGAGTAAGGTTTCTGTGTGGTAGAAGGTTGAAGATAGGTCGGTGGCACATAAGGCTTTTGTGTAGAAGGTTGAGGAACAAACGGTTTTTGTGTTACTGAAGGTTGTCTTGTAGTTTGAGTAAACACGGGAGGTACATAGGGTTTCTGTGGAGGTTGCACCGGAAACGGAGGAGAATAAGGTTTTTGCGTTGAGAATTGGTTGTATACGGGACGCTGAGGTTCAACAAAGGTGGACGGATTATGTGATGGTAGAAGAACCTCATAAGGTAGATTAGGTTGTTGAGTCGAAGATTCTACGACTAAGGCTGGTACAAAAGGTTTTTGTGTGCTCGGGATTGAAGAGTAAGGGGGACGTTCGTAAGGTTTTTGACTAGATGGTTGTTCAACTTCAAATGGTCGGTAAGGCTTTTGAGTGGTAGAATCTATAATTACGACCGGTACAAATGGTTTTTGTGTGGGTGCATAAGGTTTTTGAGGTGTTTGTGAAAATGAACTAGGAGGGAAGGGTTTTGGTTCAGCAAAAACTGGCGGTTTATAAGGCTTTTGCGTTTGCTCTACAAAAACTGTCGGTTCTTTAGTTGGTGTTGGGAAAGGTACGCTTGGAGAAGGATACGAATAGCCTGGTTTTTGCGTATATGTTGGCTTGTATGGTTTTGGAGTGACCGATCCAGGATAAACAAAAGTAGTACTTCCTCCAACAAATTGAGTACTAATCGAACTGGGCGATTGCGGAAATGAAGAAATAAATGGTCTTTGAGTTGTTTGCTGATTAAAAAATGGGGGAAAGTAGGGCTTTTGTGTCGTTTTATGCTTTTCAGTCGTTGATTGTATAAGTGTCGGAGGTGAAAATGGCTTGGGAGGTGTTGATGGTGGTAAAAACACAGGGGGCACATACGGCCTTATAGTTGTCGAAGGTTGTTGGCTGACAGGACTGTAAGGCTTCTGAGTCGTTTGAAACGAAAATGATGGTTTTGAAGTTGGAAAAGTAAATGGCACCGCAGGCTTAGGGTAACTGTAACCGGTCACTCTCGAAACAGTCGAAGAGGGCGAAAATGGCTGGTACACTGCTGATGTAGCGGAAGCTTGATGAAACAGGTCAGGCTTCCGGGGCGATTCTGTAGTTCTTCTTTTCCCATAATTGTCACTTATATCGAAATTTCCTTTATCGTCTTCTTCCAAAATATTTTCGGGGGGTGGTGGTGTAAAGAAAACTTTGGAAGTTGATTTTGCTGGAGTATATTGATCATATTTACGTGTTGTGCTGCCGAAGAAATCTCTATCATCCGATTTTCTGGACGGCTTTTCATATACGTAGCCGCCATTATTCGCGTAGAGTGCTGCTTCAATTTCCCTTTTTCCCTTTGATTCGGCCTTTACAAGAAAAGGCACCAAAAAGGCTAGAACTATGTATAGCACGTTCTGCAACAAGAAGGAAAGTTAAAGATGCGTAATAATTAACTGAAGTTTAGAAAAGTTATTTCCCAACTGCATATTTAATATATCCAGTAAAGGTCAACAAATTATGTAGTCGATTGTATATGTCTCTTAAATTGCATAATATGTTGGTAGGTATGTACTAAAAACTAAAAGACATGAAACAATATAGTTTCGTTTCAAATATGATAGGCATTCGCCTATTTTTAGAACAATTCGAAAGTATTATGCAATACACGCACGCTAATAAATTCAGGAAGAGGAGACCTGGCAAGGACGATGACAAGAAGTTGATGTTCTCTTCTAAAAGAGAAACAATAAAATAATGGTAATCAATAAGCTTACAGTTAAACTGCAATAATTGGTATAAACAAACTTGTTTTTATTAATTTTTTCCCAATAACATATTAAAGGGATTTTCTATAAAGGTCATTTGCCGATTCAATTGTAATTTATTTTATAGTTTGACCTTCGATAGAATTCTTTTGCTCATCAATGAATATTATTATTTTTCGAACTTCACTATTATTAGCATCACCTTCTGTATATATTACCTAATTAAGAAAATATTTATAAAATTTCAATTGCTTGTAGGTACTTTTATAATAAGACTTTTGCGGAACACCTCGCCCAGACCTTTCTCCCTCAATAGGTGAAGTAACGCACGCTCAGAGATTAACTTTCATTTTTACAATTCATTTATCACATTTGATTATAGATGTAAATAAACATGGTAAGAATTTATTACACCTTTACAATATTTATGTAATTGGAGTAGTAAAATTGGCAAAAACCGAATGTAAAATAAGCACACGGATATCTTAAGATGACCCCCGGGGCACAAACGTGACTATTGTTTTATATTGCAAGTGAATTAATTTACAGGTGCTAACAGAATATTAGAAAATTAAAGGTTAAAAAATGTCAAAAATTGTGCAAACTAATAATCATGAAAGCAAAGTGAGCCAATAATAAATTAATAATTGTCAAAGATCCACCATGAAAACCTGCTAAATTTAAGCAACTTAAGGATTACATCACCGTATTTACCTGCAGATTACAACTTAAAAATCAATAGGCACACCAATATTGCATCATCATGCATCCCTAATTCATTAGTATCACTGGACTAAAACAAGCGCACACGCGAAAGTGACCACCGAAAAAGTTGCAACCTACCATTTTTATCATGCATACATCCACATGGCACGGCACAACTATATTGAAGAGTAACCATCAAACTATAGTGACTTTTATATTGTAAAAGATGAAGGCAATCGAGTTATGAAACTTCTCTCCTACATGTAAATTAGATTCTCTGCTTAGGTCCCATGATATAAAATTTTGACTAGGTATCAAATCCGGGACCGATCTACCATCGATCTGCATCCCCAAATATATACTGTATCAAAACTGTATCAAGCTCATTTACCCAATACCAAAAAGTTCGTTATCGCCGAAATTTAAGAATTATCCGTCATGTGAAACTCAAATTATTCAATTTGCGTGCCCACACGACATTTACAATTAACGCCACTTTAGGTCTGATTTGCGCTTATTTATATCACGTAAAGTGTTTTGCAAAATTTTGGGGTCATTGAATTTTAATCTAATGCGCCTATGAAAGGCGAAATTGGGGGTGACTGGCTAAACCTTCCTAACCCTCACTTGAAACATTGAACTTTTATCTACCAGGTAGAGAAAGTGCGACCTTTGTGGTAAGGTGGATATAAAATTCGAAATTATTGTACTTAAAGATGCGATCATTTAGCTTTGATGGACAGGAACCATAAGACCAAAATTAAGTAATTAAACGTGCGGTCGTAAAATATTGCAGGTGCAAAACATCAAGGGCGTAAAGTTTTTAGGGAAATCTCAAGTTAACAAGAATAATAAAATCCGCGTGTACTTACGGAGCCCTAATTTGTCTCAAAATTGTAAAAAAATTTTGCAAGAAATTGAAACGTACAAGTTCAATGTGCTTTTTTATTTATTAGGACCATAAATTAATATACCTTATACAATATATAAATATTAAATTATATAAAGGAGCGATTAAGTTATTTTATTAAGTATTATTAGTATAATTATCACGCTGTTGATGCTTATTCCTCAATCTTGTTTATGTTTTCCATCCATTTGCCAATAAACAACTTTTATTCGGTAGCAGAAGACGTCAATACTATTGGTTATTCTGTATTTTGTCTTTCGGGGCTGTGTAAGGTGCAGAAAAAAATATGAATGTATCCACACTGGTGCATGGAATAATTAATATCCACGGTTTTCGAGTGTATTCAATCTAGTTTGGTCTCCCAACTCAACTAATTGCTTTTTGGGTGTGTAATAGAGCATGCACCGGTACTTCCGTTTGCAAATAACTGATTGTCAATTTCCTTTTTGTCTTAAATGGGATCGTAAAGCTGTCGATTGAAATATACCTAACCTTTCTATTCACAATTTTTTCGTGGAAAACCTCGATATCTTACGGCTAGCTTGGTTGAATCATCAAATGGGGTAGTTATCAGGTGTTTTCAATTGGATTGAATTCTTCTGCCTTACACATCAATGGTCAAGTTATAGGTCAACTCTCGGTCAACCTTCCGTACTACTTTGAATGTGTCTACAATTGCACTGTTTTTGGATGCGTTCAGGGTTTTCGATTGTACACACATCGGGCAAGATGTTCGTAGTCTCTTAGTTTCCCACTAGATTTTAACAAATGCTCGTCAAACCAAAATGTGTTAACAATTTCGTTAAAACCTGTAGAAACTTGTCATACGATTTATCAACCAAATGTGCAGACCTTATTCAACACTTTTACCTAAGAAGGGGTGAACCTGGAGGAAGCTTTTCGTTTAAATTTTCGAATTTTGTTAAATAATTTGCTCTAACAAAGGTGCACCCTGCTGTAATTTACAAAAGTTTAGTTAAATCCTGGAAAAATTTGTTAAAGGCTTTTTCTCAAAAAAAGAGAAAGTTTATAATATTCTTTGTTCTGATCTGATAATCTTATTCAACGCGTATAACGAATATAAAGAAGGGATGAAACTCTAGCCAAGTTTACACCTTTTTTTAAATTTTTAAATTTTCTTAAATCCTTTGCTTTAAGCAAAAGTGCACACTGTTTAGATTTACCAAGTTTCATTGAAATTTGCAGAAAGTTGTTAAAGAATTTATTTTATAACATTTTATTAGTTTTTGTTGTTCAAATCTACGTATCTTATTTATTGCTTTTAGCTTAGAAGGCGTCATCTCTGATCAAGTTTATAGGAAAACTTTTTGTTTAAATATTCCTGCTCGCATTGAAAAAGCTTCGTTATAAAACCTGCAACATTTGTGTTTAAAGGTGAAAGCATAAACTTTACACTTTTGATTGATTCTGAAGCTCTTAGTCAATGCCTAAAACGGGGTTAATCCGGATCTAGTTTATCAGCGTTTTGATTTCGCTAAAACGTGCAAAAGTTTGCTAAAAATTTATCTCAGAAAGAGAAAACGCGTCTAAACTTCATCACATCTCAGTGGCGTATTTACGGGGGGGGGGGGGGGGGGGGGGGGATGAAGAGGATATATCCCCCCCCTCACCGCTCCGCCAACTTTAAAATAAAGGCAATAATATATAGGTATATATAGAGAGCAATTTGGGTTTTGGTTAAAGTCTAAAGTCACTAAAATCTAAATATTCTGTAGTATTCAGTATTCACTATTCAGTATCAGTGTTGGCAGTCAACGATTTGGCTATTCGGCATCGATCGGCAATTCGCTACATTGATGCCCAAAATAACAAATAGGTATAAGGTACTTAGTACTGCTACTGAGGTGAGGTACCTGCGTCCTGCCTTTCACGAAATGACGAAAATAAGAATTTTAAATTTTAAGAACAGGAATTTTTTGCCCATAACTTTTGATGGAGAGGTCTAATCTAAAAAGTACGAATCGTTTTGGATTCTACGCACCCAAATTAATAAGAAAAAGTTTTTTCCCGAGAAATTTTGGTGCAGTCGATTTTTGGTAAAAAAGGAAGGTAGGAATAAACTGCCTTTTTTTGCCCCGAAAAAAAATTGTCTCAGATCTACCGGAAAAAAATATTTTCTGATAGAATGTGGCCTGTAGAATCCATAATTCCAAACAGTTCCAAGCTCGGACTACTAGACCAAAAGTTACAGCCCTTTGAATTTTTTGTCGAAATTGATTTTTTGCTCGTAACTGTTGATTGAGACGTCTAATCGAAGAAGTACGAATCGTTTTGGCTTCTACGCACCCAAATTAATCAGAAAAAGTTTTTTCCCGAGAAATTTGGGTGCAGTCGATTTTTGGAAAAAAAGGAAGGTTATACACTGCCTTTTTTTGTCCCGAAAAAAAAATTGTCTCAGATCGATCGGAAAAAAATATTTTCCTATAGAACGTGGCCTGTAGAATCCATAATTCCAAACAGTTCCAAGATCGGACTACTAGACCAAAAGTTACAGCCCTTTGAATTTTTTGTCGAAATTGGTTTTTTGCTCATAACTGTTGATTGAGACGTCTAATCGAAAAAGTACGAATCGTTTTGGATTCTACGCACCCTAATTAATCAGAAAAAGTTTTTTCCCGAGATCTTATTCAATGCTTGTATCGTACAATGGAAGGTGTGGATTTGAAGGCTTTCTGCCACTGCAAAAGTTTTCCAATCACCGTAATGTTTGAGGGTCATGACTCATGGGGAATCCTTCCATTGATGCGAGTGTGAATGTCCGTGATACGTTAGTTTTTGTATCCGATAACCTTATGCACAGATACCAATTTTCATATTCAATATCTGCACTTGTTTCTGATGGCCAACCGTTCTGCTTTACCGGGGGGAGCCTACGTCAAAAATTGGGTAACATCCATGGATCAAGTTTACCAAGAATAAGAAAATAAACAACTTAACATATAGGATTCGGACAGTACCAATGGTAGTGTGCATAAATCGGTTGACTCCGAACACGGGACAAAACGAACAGGATCCAGGGAATGTGGTGGGACTTTATGTCACATTACTGTAGAAGACAAAGGGCACGCGTTGGTGTTGTCCGTGAGGAACTTAAAGACTTGTTTGAAGCACCAGCGGATTACGCTTTGGCTGACTGAGTAGTCAAGAATGTCAAGATGTCCCGAGCTATTGCAAGCTCCGTTTTAGGCACCTTCAACGTCCCGAAGTAAAGAAGGTTCCCTACAGGAGCAGGGACGAGTTGATAAACCTGGTTACGAAGATTTTTGGAATTCGCTACAGCACTTGAAAGAACAACTACCTACATGGCACCGGGGTAAAAATATTGATCTGTTGTTTAACCCCAGACAAACACCTTAACATATTCGTAAAGCTGTGGATAATTTTTTCTTCGAGAATAGAAGTAGCGCGAGAGGGTCTTTGTGCAAGTACCGCCATCAAGTTCACGTTACAGAACTAGAGTTGCCTGGGACTGTGTCTCCGTTACCCCCGTCATCACTCAACAGTTTTAAAAGGGGGGACAGTGTAGCGAACATTTAAGAAATCTCGATAGACATCGAGGCGCTATGAAAGATTAGCCATCGGCGATAAAGAATGAAGGCGGATGTGACGAATCTTTCCGAGAGAAATATGACAGGTTTATTCGAGAACGTTCTAGAATACACGGATGCGTTCAGAAGCGCTCGAGATCTTTCGAGAAAGAGGGGGCGAATTGCTCCTTCAGTAGTTTCTAACCTTGACGCCGAAGTAATAGATGGTTCCCGCTGTTAGATCTTGTGAATTCGTGGGTAATAAATATTTTACTGTTATAAATCTATTCATTTCAAGACTGTTATACAGTATATTATATACCAAGGCACTAAACTGCGTCTTTTAATCCCGGTAAATAATATGCCCGAATCGAAGCAACGAGCACCTGATGGTGTCGGACGCACTTTAGTCCTGTAGTAAGAGTATATTTTTATTTTCATACTATATATATACAGTACATATAGTGAGTCCGTATATATACATGGAAAATAAGTCCACAGTTACAATATAATGTAAAATAATAAAATGGTACAAACAAATATTATCCAATTACAACATTTTTAGAATATACAGTGATATTCATTTATAGAAAAGTAGAAATAAGGATTTCCTATGTCTACTTTCAAATTATAAATACCTAACGAAGTACCTTAGGTGTAATTTTTGTTTCCTTTCAATAGTGATGTGTGACTTCGTATTCACATGACAGTAGCGATAGATAACTAACTTTTAATTGTACATTTGCATTATCGTGAAGTGAAGGTGATATCGTGACATGATTTATAGTACCTACTTCAATTTTATTTCTTGAAACTATCCGCTTGATCCTTAG